AAATAAGAGGGCCAATATTGAAAATGTTGGTGAATCAGATATCGTTATGCAAGATATCGGTTGGTGTAAAGACAATTTACTCACCAATGTTGACTCAAAACCTCTCATAATATTAAACTTGTATTTTTACCAAGCTATTCTGTATTACTGTATTATAAATAACAGTTACAAAACACATTTGGAAGCCAAATAATCAAAGCACAATGTCAATCTAATAAAATAAATATAGCTGTATTTTTGTTGTTCTTGGCTGACCACCAAAAAATAAACGTTGATTTCTTGACGGCTAAATTGTTACAGCAACTATTACAGCGTGTATATGAGTGTATATGAGCACTAGAGGACTGTTCACTGCATATTAAATCCGAGTGTAATCATTTTAAACGATCGGGTCAAGCAATAAAAGTGTATTATTTTCTCTGCTTCACTGTGCCATTTGTATTCCACTACGCTACACTGTCTTTACCAGGCCAGCCTTGAGATGGAAGTGATTTGGAGGTGGATTGTCAGATCAGATACAGACACTCGTGGTCAATGTGACATCCCTGAGGCCGGAGCAGAGGAGTAGATAACTAATGTCCCTTGCTATTCCAGCTCTCCCCTGCTATATTATCCCTCCTTTCAGACCAAACTGGGGCCTGTTTACACCTCGCCTGATCCATATTTGGACTCGACCCAAACCCCTGGACAGAGACAAAGAAGGGAAGAACCTGGAGAGGGATGGGAGCTTGTGTAATGATAGGATGATGTGTTATTGACAAGATGCAATTTCTCATGAAAGCATTGATGAGGAGCATGGAGGAGGCCAAGGGAAATGCTGCAAAGTTTGAGCTGTGATCTGTATGCACTGCCAGAGTATGCTGAGGATGTGTATAGGGTATTAAGAACCACTTGTGTTTCTATAACCAGACCAGCGAGGACTTTTCACTGTTAACAGATGTGGGTATCTTCACTCAAACAGCTTTCCACCAACCTACATTAGATTTGCATTAGTTTTTGAAATATAGATCTACAACCGTGGTTCTAAAACTGTTCACAGATAATATTTGGCTTTCCAAGGACCACCCATAAACCACATAAAGAAGTGGACTAAGCGAGCGTGATGTCACCCACAGTGTTCAGCTCCAGTCAAAAGAAGCTCACAAGGCTAAAAATGAATTTGGAGCCGAGTTCCATATGAGGAATAGGAATTTATTCACGATAATAAAAACCCCAGATGATGTGTGAAGTAGAGTGGGTTACGAACATTTTAAGATCAAACCACAATGCTTAAGGACAGTGATGTAGTGGGGATTTTTTAAGTGGGGGTACGCGAATTTGTGACGTCATCGAAACCGAAAATCAGGACTGAACCAAGACTAAAACAGGACTAAACCAGAACAGAACCAGGACGGAACCAGGACAAACCAAGTCTAAACCAGGACTAAACCAGGACTAAACCAGGACTACACAAGGACTAAACCAGGACTAAATCTTGGATTTGAGAGTGAGAGAGCCCACGGAGCAGGGTGTCTGCAAAGCGCAATGCGGTGACTGCTGCGTTTTGCCCCGTGGTGCGCGGAGCTCTGGGCCGGTCCTTTTGCCTGTGGTCACCCGACAGTCTACGCAGGCACACCTCCGGGCCTGTTCCGATACTCAGTCCTGGTTCAGTCCTGTTTTAGTCCTGGTTCAGTCTTGGTTCAGTCCTGGTTCAGTCTTGGTCCCTCATGTTGCATGTCACTATAGGACAGTACTACAGATATCATGAGCCTATGCAGGATGTTGTTACCATTGCCAATATCTCTAGTTTGACATTTAAGTTGTAGCTATTATATTTGTTATTTTTTATAATGTTGGGAGAAGTAAGGGGACCCCCGCATACCACGCCCACTACACGCCAGCTTAAGGAGCAGTTACAGAGAGAGGTATCATCAGATATGAACCTGGACTATATAAGGCTGAAATTAAGGCTATAGGCTTTTATATTATCCATTCATAAGCTTCAGGCAAATGATTCCTTCTTGATTTGAAAGATTTTGTGAGCACTCCCCATTCAAAAGATATATTAGCTGCTATTTGAGATATTTGCGGTTTTTAGTGAATCAACTACTGGCCTTAAATCTCCAGCACAGGCTTGATTTCTTGTTTTGCCCAACCTGCTGCCTAAAGAGTACATGAAGCTTTATTTGACCACTTAGAGTATGTGCAAACACATACCTGCACAAAACGTGACTACATAGCTCTCTTATAGGTAAAAAAATGGGGCTGTGAGTGAGCTTCTAGTAAATTTAAATAACAGAATTTGGAGGAAATAATAAAAATTGGTCATATATAATGGCCCAAATATATCGGCAGATCTAAACAATCAGTATCTGCATCAACCATGAAAAAACATATCAGATTATTTCTAGTTCTTCTTATGCTTTTTACCCATGAATACCAGGTCTAAAATGAGACTAAACCATGGCAACAGCAGTATTAAAAATGTTAACCCAAAGAAGACCAAAAACCTTAATACATTTGTCTTTAAATGAAACAAATAGCCCCCTCAAACTGCAGAGATCCCCACACACCACCAGAGGCAGCCTGTGTACCATAATAGTGTATAGTAAGTAAGCAACACCCCCAGGAAACAGGAAAATATGAAATAAGATACTAAAAATGAGACACAGAAGATATATCCTACGCTTTCTGTAGCAGACCCCAGTAAAAACATTGGAGTAAGGCGTCCAGCGCATAGGAACCCTCTCAAATAAACGTCAGTAATAATTAGTGATTCTGCGATCAAGGGTGGACTCATGCACTAAATTGTGGCTGGAGTAATTAGCTGATAAAACTTCGATGATGTAGACTAAATGGTGTGTAACGACCATAAACGAGGAGATGCTGGGGTGAGGGGAGGCTAGAGACAATAGAAAATACAAAATAAAAGTTTATGCAGATGTAAAGGGTGGCTGGCCGGCACAGAATAGTTTAATGAGATTTCTGATGTGTCCTTACAGAGAGGCTGTTGTCTAACTGTATTTCATTGGTTCATTACACATTTTATGAGACAATTATCACAATGGACAAAAAGCCTGCTCTCCATTTGTCTCTAAAAAAATGTTTGTATTAATTTCGACCACGAGGGCAGCTAACAGTTTGTATCTAGGGGAATAGTGAAAATTAAACAAAAAGACAACATACAAAATTTGACAGAAAGTCTTTGACCACATGATCTGAAGACACCTCCACACAAACAACCAACGTTAAGTTAAATTCTCTTTAAAGGTGCACTGAGTAACTTTTCTGGAGAAGGGTCTGTCTCCATGGAGATGTAGATGGAGATTGCTTTGCCTGGAATGTTCCGTGGTATGACATTAAACACATATATCTAGCATTTATTCATTAAAGGCATTCCTATTACAATAATTCTCTCTCATGAATATGATTGCCTCTCCACAGACCTGACCTGTAATGTAGACTATAATTGTCTCCCTTGTGATAGGTTCAATCTGTACTGTGGAACATTTTAGACAAAGCAATAACATTTTCATGACGACAAGCAGGTGACAGACACTCCATAAATATACATACTCAGCTTTTTAGTTGGGTGGAGCTGTTCATGTCATCTTTTTATTCAAGTGATAACTGTATAAAATTATTGTTGATCAAAATTCACACTTCAGATGTTAAAGAAAACAAGGGTTGTCAAAAGTAAGAAAATCTGATATGAATGAATACTAAAACAACTATAGAAACTAGATACTCATGTGAACAAGTATCACATAAATCCCCCCAAAACTGAATGACATTAACAGGATAAAAAAATCTGATATAGCGAATAGTTTCAGAATGATCTTGAACTATTATAAGACCACAGAAACGAAAGCACCATTGTCAAAAAAGAGCAAGTTTTTTATTATCATTGTTGTATTGAAATCAGCATCAAGAATGAACCCTGTTTCTCTGTATCAAAATTGAGTTTGAAACCTAGATAGGAAACCACTAGAAAAAATATAATACTCACTTGCCACACACCAGTTCTCCTGTTTTACTTTTCTTTATCCCCTTCATCTCCATTACCAACCGCCGAGATGTGACGTGCTCGCCAACGTGTGCTCAAAGACTCTGTCACACAGTGTAACTAATGTCTCTGCAAATTGCTAAGCGCTGGCGTTCCCTGTAACAATTTATTATATTTTATTGCAGCCCATCTTAGCTGTCGTGTCTCAGATTTTCCTGTCCTGATTGATGCAGTGCCACATTATGATCAATATAGCCCCAAAGGCGTGGGCTGGGGGGAAGGGAGGGGGGTGATTAACTAAAAGGCTGTGCCCGTCTGTTCACCACACTCTTTTGTCAGTGTATCCAGGTGGTGCTGGGGAGTGACAGAAGTATTATTTGATTTTTTTTTCATGCATGTAATGTGTGAGATGAAACCCTATTTATGCCTATAATGAGTTGTAACTGCATCTCAGTGTATCCTCCACACTTGTCAACTATGGGGACAGGGTATTTCATTATCCTCCTACTGGAAGCTATAGCTATCTTTTCCACACAGGAGTTCAGACTGGAGTGGGATTTCTCCAGCTGCAGTATGACTTCACAAACACCAAAGCACTGGGGGTTCTCTGACCTGGTACTCTGCTCATTACGGCTGCTCTTATGCTACTGCAGAACTGAGGAAGCCTATTGAGAAAATGCAAGAGCACATAGTAACACAGTCTACATATCATCTCCAGATGAGCCTCATTACCAACATGAGACAAAGGTAACTGCAGGTCAGCGTTTTTTTTTTTTTTTCGGTGCTGGCTCATTTGTTGCCATTGTAAACAGTTTAGTTGCTCCATCTTGACTAATTTACATTTTTATTATGAAGTTTTCTATTTGTTCAAAAAGAACATTTTTAATCTTTAATTGATTTGAATCCCATCAAAAAGGAGCATACCTGCCCCTAATAATGTGAACCTACGCTACTCTGCCTTTCCTTCAGAAAAAGCTTTGCACTTTGCACAGGATTTAGGGAGACTGTTACTCACGTGTTCAGGCCCCTGGAAGCAGATCCTGCACACGGGCGTCCTGAAGCCACTCTCGGTGTAGCTGGTGAGGGAGAACCTCTCCTCCAGTTTGCCCTTCGAGCAGTCATCTGATGAGCTGCTGTGGCCGCGCAGGGCCGCTGACAGCTCCGCGGCGTCCACCCATACGCCCGCTGGTCCACTGGCTCCCGCTGTGGCCAGCGCGGCTCGGTCCCCCGCCGGCTGTTGCTGGTGGCTCCGTGTTAAAGTGTTATTGTTGTCGGGGACGGTGACGCCTGGCTCATGGCTTGCCGTCGCTTGGCTGCTCATGGGGGCGAGCAGGAGCACCCTCAGGTCACCAAGCAGGACGCAGCAGCGGCTCTTCAGCATGCCCTGGCCGCGCAGCATCAGCCCTTGTCCGGCCGGCCACCAGCTCAGAGCACCGCGGAAAGGAGCGGGGAGGTACTGGCGTGTACTGTACGTGACCCCGGCATCAGCAAACACTTGGTGTCGTGACAACCCACACCATCAAGGATATTTGGATTTATTTGTTTATATCCGTTTTCCAAACGCACCGTTTTAATTTCCTCCCAGGGGTATGCAAATCCAATCGACCAATAATTCCAATTGATGCAAACAAGTGTCTGAAGCCATTGAGCTGGACAAACGGAGGGCTAAAAGAACAAAGTTAATGTTAGATTGATGGGAATATGCATTCAAGTAACAAGCTACGGGCCGCTAACTGCGTCCACTGTCATTTCACCGCTTCAATAGTCTGCCTGCTCTGCACATGACCACAGGACAGGCTATTACCCAACGCTCACAACGGGCTGAGGATAGCTGCTAATATTGCCTGTAAGTAGTCGAATATAATGGGATGAGCCTTTTGAGGGAATTTTAAACAGCAAGGAGCGACATTAAAGCGACATTGTCACGGAGCTCGAAAAGCAGATCAAATAATTGATGGCGTGGCACGTTAAAGGCTAAATCAGTCTTACCTGGCGAGCTACACCAATTGCTATAGGACTCACAGTTTCAGGCTTTTCTCATGGATGCCCAGGCAGACTGCAGGTCGAAAACAAGTCTGTGTGAAGCTTACATCCCGAATGATCGTGTTTCCACTTCCCGGGGACACGCCAGTGGGGTTTAAATCCGTGCGTAAAATCCAGCGCGGGCAGGACGGTCCTGCCGTAGGTGAACGCGGTTTCTCTTGTGATCATTGGCCGTGGAGTCGGTGCTGCAGCTTCAGCCCCATGGTTCCTGGGACAGCTCCCAGACGCCACACGTCATCACCGCACACTGATGCAAGCAGCCAATTCAATAGGCTACTACAAGAAGCCTATGGATTCAAGCGAAGCACTGGACGCCAGTAAAAGCCACTACGCGAAATACAGACCTATACGTCCCGAGCTCACGTTCCCTGCAGTGAAGTAGTCTACTTAGTGGAACCGGTTTGTTCTTCTTGTCCCTACTTGTCAGATTAAAAGAAATGTAGGCTAGATATTGTATATGATTTATTTATTTATTTTACAAATATATATAGAGGCTACAAGAAAAGACTACTTCTCCAACACAAGGCTACAGTAATCAATGGAATGCACCCATGGCACTGGCATAAAAATGTGTTCATAATCATACCACTGCTAAACAGGGACAAATTGCACTTTCTCATAGAGTTCCTCTTGATCAGTGCTGATAACGGCGAGGTTCAAAAATAAATTTATTCTAACCACATGAGGAACAGAAGTAATGTCATAAAGGATATAGCTGAAATGTATGTATTGTTAGTGCCCGCAGCAGCGTTACTCAGTGGTTACTTAGCTCTAATCAGAGCATATTGTTGTTGTGTCATTGGGCAAGACACGTGATCCACTTATGTTATATGAACACCATAGTGGTGGCGGTCAGGGGTACGTTCAAATAGTAGACTTCCCAGTCAACTGATTAGAAAGATTGTTCCTCTGCAGCTAGCTATTTTCTATGACCACTCTCCATAAAAGCACTTAAATGTGAAATAACTGGTGGAGGGTTTGCCGCCTTGTGGTCTCCATGGAGATGTAATTGCAAACTAGAGAACATACTGTACCTTTAATGTAGCCCCAGTAGTGCAAAAGTCCCTAATGAGTGAACATTAAAAGTTATGAATACCTTAACTTACCTCGAAAACACCAGCCCAAAAAGCTTTGGTATATGGAAGATTTATTTATTTATTTTTAGTATGTGGCAGAAAAGAGGCTGCACGTGCTTTGTTGTTATTCTACGTCACTTCCTGCGCGGCAGAAAGGAAACTACAGCAGCAACTTCACTTTTAGCTGTTAGCATGTTTGTTTTGAGATCATCGCTCCACAACACTCTACTCAGGAGTTGACTTTGGCTTTTCTGGACATTGGCTAATGGAATACCGTCGTAACACCCATGTTGTTGACACTTTTTACTTCAAAACCTGACTTTTTCTGTACTGTTGCAGATTAGCATGCTACTAATAGCGCTGGACGCTGCTCCTAAATTGGCTAATAACGTGAGAAAAACGGAGATCACTTTTAACTGTATGTACTGTACGATTTTTAATCCCGCGTAGCTCACAGCATATTTAGAGCAGATTTGCTTTAGCAGCAGAAACCATCATGTCCAATCAACTAACAGCAGAGCAGCAGAGAAGAATCGAGGAGAACAGGCGCAAAGCTTTAGAGAGGAGAGCGCAAAGACGCGGACAAACTGCGCCTATAGTCAGACCTGCCACCGCCAGCGCGTCATCGGTGCAGAGCTTTCAGTCTCACAAGCCAAATGCAGCTCCCGTCGGTGTTATTGAGCCTACAGTGCCTCTTTCTCGCCCAAATCGGTTTGTCCCTCCTTTTAAAACGGTCCACAACAGTAACACCAACGTCCATGTACCTGACTTATCATCTGGCACAACCACACAAAGCAGTCGCAGTATGTCCACTGCACCTCCTCCTAGAAAGGTGAGAGACTTTCTTTATGTGTAGGCATGTCAAATGGTGATTTCCTAATGAATGATTCTGTGTTTTCTTGTAGATACAAATCATTGATGTGCAGCCTCAGAATAAAGGTCAACATGTTAGCAGCCCTGTCTTGTCCACTGGAGGCCTGGCTGTGAAACCGCTACATGCACAATCTAATGTTCCCTCCAGCATCTCTGAAGGTTCAGCGAGCTCTTTTTATAAACCACCCAATAAATCTTCCACAAATCCTGTGGCACGGCCTGCTCCAGGCTCCTCTGCTGTAAACCCTGCACCTGCGAAGAGACCTGCGATCTCTGTGAGAGGCAAGTGTGTGCCTCACACTGAGGGCCGCTTCAGAGTGGAGGTGGGATTTCATGCAGCACTAATAGCTGTCTTTAAATCCATCCCTTCTAGAAATTTTGGTAAGTAGTTCTTTTAAAGATGTACTCAAATATAATTAGTAGTTTCCATCATGACAGAGGTATTTATAATATATTTAATAATGGTTATATTAGGCAAATGGCCAGCCCACCAAGGCAGAATACAATAGTGTATTATATACACTATTATATATACACATATTATATTTGACAGGAGGCAAAGGGGTCGATTGTACCGGGTCCCTAGGTCAATGGACCTAATTATATAATTTATAGTATAATATTGTCCACATCTAAATGACACAGCTTAAATTAGGCAGTCTGCAAAATCACTTGCATAAAAATCTTTTTTAGACCCAGCTACAAAAATGTGGAACTTCAGTCTTGAAGATTATCAGCATCTAAGTAAGTAAATTCTAAATAATTATGAAAAACAGGTTGTTGTTGTGGATGTGAGGCTGCAATGTAAAACGTGCACTTGTTCATTTCGTGCTGCTCCTCTTCAGTGCGTGATGTAGCGTCCCTCTCCTCCGTGTCTCTGGGGCCTCTTGAGGGGATGGAGATGCTGGACACTGAAGTCTCGAGTCGCGCTCGAGACGGAGCGGCTCTGGAGGCTCTACTGAAGCTGTGCAGCGGGTGGCAGAAACCCAGAGCCACTTTACAGGGCCAGTGTGTCCTTGTGTCTCCATCCAAGTTTGAGGTGGACATTGGTTACCATGTGGATGTGATTGCTGCTTTTAAGCAAATGCCAACCAAGAGCTATGGTAATAACCCTTTACTGATTCTTACTACTGCACAATAATTTGCTTTGTATTCATAATACATTTGCTTTTCTGCTTTATTTGAATGCCAGACATGACAACAAGAAAATGGAGCTTCTCGCTCGAGGATTACAAACCACTGAGTAAATATCAACATATCCTTTGCTTGTATAATGTATTTCTGTGCTTTTTGTCTGCTTGGATTAGTCACCTTTTCTAAGCCTGTTGTGTTCCTTACTCAGTGGACCTCCTGAGTGGGATAGCAGCCGTGGAGGTGGAGCCTCTTCCCAGGGCAATAATCCAGGCTTTCTCTGCCAGGTTCGAAGGGCCTCAGGCCAGGTCTGTAGCAGTCCCTGAGGCAGACCTTTCCAACATCGACCCCACACTCACCACAAGCCTTATGCCCTTTCAGAGGCTGGGAGTCAAGTATGTGCTGTTAAACCACTTTGTACCACTATGAATCATATATGTCTGTGTAATCTCTCTGTCTTTTGCTGTGAATTATATATCTTGGTAACAAAAGAATGGCAACAGATCTTTTTTGTGTGTATCAAAGTTTTGCAGTGTCCAAAGAGGGTCGGCTTCTCCTGGCTGATGACATGGGTTTGGGGAAGACCGTACAGGCCATTTGTATAGCTGCTTACTATAAAAGTGAATGGCCTTTACTGGTGGTGGCTCCTTCTTCAGTCCGATTTACATGGGCCGAGGTAAGTCAGTTTAATGGAAAATATTTAAACAGCTCTTCTCTATCTCCCTTCCAATCAAAGAGTAGGATTACAGGATACTGCCCTTTAAAAGACTCAATTTTTATCATAAACTTGACAAATATTAACTACTATATTATTTTTTTATTACTCAACATAATGTTTCAGTCAAAGTTTTGTATATATTTTCTACACATGATTAAATGAAAGAACTACATAATCAACTTCATGTGGTAAATCTCATAAAATTAACTACCCCGGTCACGTACAGGCCTTCAAGCGCTGGCTGCCCTCCCTGAGGCCTGAGAGCATTAATGTGGTGGTAAAAGCCAAAGACGACGTCCGCTCTGGTTTAGTCAACATCATCAGTTATGACCTCCTGAGCCGAATAGACAAACAGAATCCTGGAAACCCCTTTAAAGTTCTCATCATGGTGAGTTAATGCATGTAGGGACAGGTAAAGTGTGCAGGGTTAACTCAACTTTTAATTCACATTCATGATGTTTATTGCAGGATGAATCCCATTTTCTAAAGAACATAAAGACTGCCCGTTGTAAAGCGGCTCTTCCACTTCTAAAGGTACTTTTCCTGTTTATATTGGTACTTTGCATTGACATCATGTTGGGGGATTCTACATCTCTATTGGTGGAGTGTTCAACAGTTGCCATGATGATAAAATGCACACATTAGTAAAAACAAAAAAATAAACACTACCGGTCAAAAGTTTTAGAACGCCCTAATTTTTCCAGTTATTTATTGCAATTCAAGTCGTGCAAGTCCAATGAATAGATTGAAATAGTACAAAGGTAAATACTGAACAGACATAGGTTAAAAAAAAAGATAAAAGATAATAAAACACAAGTCCAAGCTCTGCCAAAACTACCTCAGGAAAAAAGAACAAGATGGTGAGCTTGAAAAAATGGAGTGTCCAGCACAGTCTCCAGACTTAAGCGCCATTGAGCTGGTTTTGGATGAATATGACAGAAGAGTGAAAGCCAAGAAACCTACAAGTGCCACATATTTATGGGAACTTCTGCAACAGACTTGGGAAGAACTTTCTGAAGAATATTTGATTTCTATTGAAAAAAAAAATGCCAAGAATGTGTTCAGCTGTTATATCTGCCAAATGTGACCACTTGAATCAAAAGTTTAGAATAAGTTTTGGTCTATAAATTTATTCCATGATTTATTTTTCAACTCAGATTGCTTATTTATTCTATGCTTTCATTTCAGAGTGCAATGACACAATAAACAGTAAAAAAAATTTGAAGAACTGTGGTGTTATAAAACTTTTGACTGGTAGTGTATATATATAATCTGAAAAAATACAAACTGGATTTAAACGACACATGTGAGCGGTCCTGTTTAGGAGAGTGACTGACAGAAAAACTGTGACTGTGTGACTGTAATTTTATATGTGAGAGACTTATAAAAGTGCACAAATCATCTCAGCGCTTTCTGGTCAGACTTTGTTAGAATAAAATTTAGATTAAGTCTAATTTGTGTAACATAGCTTTTAACAGAGCAGTGCTTTCAGTTAGCGTCACACCTGCAGTTGCAAAGTATCAATTCTTCTAGTACTACATGTTTTTCGTACTTCTTTACTATGATATGTTTTTCATTGTATAGGCTGTTTTGTCATAGTAACCTTTGCATGTTATAAAAGCGTTCTACTATAATGCAAGTTAAGAGAAACAAAACTCAGTAAATGTAAGTTTTACTTCATATTTTCAACACAAAGAAGTTAGAGTAGATATTTGCAGTGTGTCTCCCATTGCATCCCAGGTACGCCCCAGTAGTGACAATACCTCCCCGTGTTTGGTTGGGTGCTTTTTAATTTCTTGCTCTGTCATCATCATCGGTCTCTTTTTCAATCCTCAGGCAGCAAAGAGAGTGGTTCTTCTGTCTGGGACCCCGGCCATGTCCAGGCCTGCGGAGCTTTACACTCAGATCCTGGCTGTCAGACCCACACTTTTCCCACGCTTTCACGACTTTGGCCTGAGATACTGTGATGCCAAACAGGTACCTGCGCTAGTCCACATAAGGTCAAATAAGGCAGTAGTTTAGTAAAATGTACTTTGGACAATACAAATGTACTTTCTATAACATTAAAGGGCCCATATTACTCTATTTTCTAATGTGTTACAATGTTGTTTCCTCATCACAAACACACCTTAAGTTGTGTTTTGTTTCATTCGCACTTATAATAACGAAACCCTGCATGTTTAGACTGAGTTCTTTTCTCAAACAGAAAACACTCTGTTCCACCTTGTGATGTCATGTGGTAATACAGGAAGTGCTCCACTGTGTTTTCAAACTCCATACACCTTCACTAGAATCATCATCATCATGAAGCTTTGAACTTGAAAACTACCACTACATGACATCACAAGGTGGAACAGCATTTTGAGCTTTGGAGATGGAGACAGACTAATAAACCATGGTTACTCAAACATGTGTGAATGAAACAAAACACAACACCAGGTATGTTTTTGAGGAGGTAACAACATTAAGCATGACTTAAAGCTCACAAAAATCCATTATGTGTAATATAGGACCTTTAACATACATTCTTCCTTAAATAATACTAATATTATTTAGTGTCATACCTTGAGTGCTAAGTAGGGGTGTAACGATATCCAAGTCTCATGATATGATATTATCACGGTATGAACCTCTCGGTAAGGGAAAGCTCACGATTAGGGATGTAACAATATCCAAATCTCTCGGTACGATATTTTCACAATATACATCTCACAGTACGATATTTTTTGCAATATTTTGTGGAGGCTAATATGCTACTTTTTCCTCTTAAAATGCCTTGACAAGACTTAATCCAAAGAACTAAGACTTAAAATTGCTTAGAACTGTTATTTCTTCATGTACTACACTGAAATGGAGCAAAGGATCATGGTCTATGTAGTTCTCTCTGTCTTTTTTTTTTTTTACCTATTGCTGCACCATAACTCTTAATTTAAGCAAAGACTTGTAATTCGATATATTGTGATAGCCCACGGTATTATTGTGAGAACTTTGACGATACGATATCACAATATTGCGGTTATTGTTACATCCCTATTAAATAATACTAATATTATTTACTATCATACCTTGAGTGCTCAGTTAACTAAATGATAATATATATCAGTAGTTAGGAACTGTATGTAAGATGTAGATGTTAAATTAATCTATCTGCAGGTTTAGGCACTGGCAATCAAAGTTCTTCTGAAACTGTAGTCCCCCTTTTGAAAACAGTCAGGGTACATACAGTTCCTTTTATGGATGACTGATACTGCGCTAAAATTTAGACATACTGCAAAGAGAGTTTTGAACTAAAGCTCTGAACTACATAGAGCTCGCCAAGTTCAAACTCAATAAAATAATATGTACCACAGTATTTTAAAATGTGACAGTAGTGGATGCAGCCTCAAATAAGTTTAAGCTAACACTAACCTCAAAGAACAAATTTGCATAACATAAAACACTCGAAAAATCCTCCAGAGTCGATCCTTTCACTTCACATTTTCTTTTGCCACTGTCTGTCCATGCATTCCCCAATTTCCTTTCTTGTGCGTCTGCCTTGATCCCCCCCCTCTTCAGATGAACTGGGGCTGGGACTACTCAGGCTCATCTAATCTGGGTGAGCTAAAGCTGCTGCTGGAAGAGTGTCTGATGCTACGGCGCCTCAAGTCAGAAGTCCTGTCGCAGCTTCCTTCCAAACAGAGAAAGGTGGTGACAATTACCATCGACGGAATCAGCACCAGAACCAAAGCTGCTCTGTCTGCTGCTGCCAAGGAGCTGGCAAAGGGACACCGCAATGTGAGTTAGATTATTGTCTTTCAGGAATCACAGGGTTCCTCACGATTTGAAACGATAGACGATACACGGCTCACAGTACGATATTATCACGATATGGCTATAAACGATATAATGTACATAATATATCACTTTTTTTTTAAAGGTGCACTGTGTAACTTTTTGGTTGGGGGTCCGTCACCTGCTTGTTTCTATGGATATGTCATTGCTCAGCCTGGAATGTTCCACAGTATGACATTAAACAGCTCTACCTTACATTTATTCAATTACATGTTTTTTATAGCTCAAAAATGCTTAGAAAAACAGTCATTCTGACTGTAAGCAGGCTTGCCTCTCCACAGATGGGACCTGTAACTTGGTCTGGTTTGGTTTTCATTATGCTAAAAAGTAGGGATGTAACGATATCCAAATCTCTCGGTACGATATTTATTGCCATATTTTGGAGAGATAATTCTAGATAACTGTAGAGCTTTTTTCATCATAATCCCAAGAATTCAAGTAAAAAAACATATTTCTTCATATTGTCTCCACTGAAATGAATCATGGGATATGTAGTTTCCAATGTTTATAAGCTGTTGCTACGAACTTGTAATTCAATCCACGATATTATGGTGAGACTTCTGACGATACGATATCACGATATTTTGGTTATTGTTACATTCCTAGTAAAAACCTTCAATGCTTTGTGAAACATTCCAGACTAAGCAATAACATCTCCAAAGAAAAAAGTATTTGACGGACCCTCCTCCAGAGAAGTTACACAATGCATCTTTAATAAGCAAAGACATAATTCTTGGTTAAATCACTACTTGTGCAAAGTTGATATGAAATACATCTATTTTTATGTCATGTGTATTGCATAAAAAAATTCCTTCCACCAAATAAGCAATAAAATTATAGTGTGATAACAAAAAAAATGCTAAAAGACACCAGAAATCCAACCCATAACGTGCTACATTGGTCTCCAGGAGGAACAGTTGATAACTAAGGTTCATTAAATACAATCAATCAATGAACCTGCCCAGGGACTACAAGTGGAAATTAGAACTGGTGCTACAACCTGGTACAATGCATCTCTCTTGTTAAGGTTAATGTAAATTGTGCACTGTCCCTGTCTCATTAAACAAATAAACTAAACTAAACTAAACTAAAATACTCTTGATACAGCAGCTCACTATAATTATACTGTATCACCAAATTTAGTATCACGACATATGGATATTTCACTATTTTTGCACATCCCCATTCTCCGCACGGCCCCAGAAAGCAGAAACATCCCCTGATAATATGAGTAGTAATGAGTTCTGAAGAAGATTGTAGAAGTGAAATTATGTTTTTTGCAAAAGTCTTCTAAGGTTTCAGTGATTGGAAGTGCACTGGAAGGACCAAGGGATCTGACTGAGTTGCATAATCACACTGTTCCCCTGAGTAATGGCAGCATTATTGAATCAAACAGAATCTGCTGTCAGTTCTTATCGTGTGCTTTTTCTTATCTCTTTCCCAGAAAATAGAGGAGAAGGAAGCACTGCTGGTTTTCTATAACTACACAGCTGAAGCCAAGTTACAAGCCATCATGTATGTACTGTCAGTTTCTATTAGTATTAGTAATTTTTTTTTAAATATAGTCTGAAAACTCAAGAAATCTTACGAACTGGATTTAATGGTGCATTGTGTGACTTTTCTGGTGGAGGGTCGATTAAAAGGTTTGCTCCACAGAGGTTTTATTGTTTTTTTTGGAATGTTTCACAGTTTGGTATTAAACCTGCCTATCACCATGGAGACCAAACCAGGCCAGCTTACAGGTCAGATCTGTTGAGAGTAAGGCTGTGCAATTAATTTAATTTTGATTTCGGGATTTCAATTTGTGTCAAACGATCTCCAAACTAATATAAACAAGTTGAAACAATTTAAAGCTTAACAAAGTTTATTTGGGGAAGTATATTTATTTTTATTTTTTATTTAAATATAGAAATAGAACAGCTGGATATATAGTTTATTTTCTATGCCTTATATTAAGTATATTTTATTCATTTTATGTTTTATACATCGCAAAACTGCTCTAAGGTACATATTTGTAGCTTATATTTATTTTCAATTTGAAAGTTTTCCACAAATTATCAATAACAAAGTGATTTTTTGAGAGAGAGAAATGCTGAATAAATGCATTGTGTAACTAAAAATAATCGTTTGAATAATCGTGATTTCAATATTGACCAAATAATCGTGATAATGATTTTTTCCATAATCCAGCAGCCCTAGTGGAGAGGCAAACCCACTCACAGTCAGAATGCCTGTTTTTCAAGGTATTTTTTGAGCTATAAAACCACCTTTAATTGAATAAATGTAAGGTAGAAGTGTTTAATGTCATATTGTGGAACATTTCAGGTAGAGCAATGACATCTCCATAGAAAGATGACGGCCTCCTAACCAAAAACGTTACACAGTGCACCGAAAATTTACACAGTGCTCCTTTAAACAACACATTTTCAGGAGTCTGTGATCAATACGAGCGTTTATGATCCTGTTAAGGAGAAAAAAGTTGAGAGTCTAACTGAAAAACTGCTATCTAGCTTATAACTAATTTTATGTGAGAGACTTATTAAAGTGCACAAATCATCTCATCTGTTGTAGTTCTAACTAAACCAAATCTTTGTGTTAAAATGAAGCTCAAATTAAAGTCTGACTTGAGTAACAGCGCTTCTAACAGAGCATTGCTTTCAGTTAGCATCACACCCCCAGGGATTGTTGACAGCATCAGTACTTCAGTGTGTTTCGATGTACTATACTATTTACTTCTGCTGATTTTCTACATAATTTCCACTGTTTTGTTTGCAGGGAGTACATCACAGACATGCTCGAATGTGGAAGGGAGAAGTTTTTGGTTTTTGCGCATCACAAGTTGGTCCTGGATCATATCACTTCAGAACTGACAAAAAAGGTGGATAACGCATTCATATAGTGTGTTGTGTATAGTCAATAAGGTTATTATATTCACGTATTTGTAGCAGTTACAAACCCCACTTTGGCTTGGAACAATCCGAAAAACTCAAAAAGTCAAGCTTTTAAAAGGGGCTTAGTGTAATGGGCCATTTTCATTCTAGCGCAATTCAATTCCATATGTATCCAGACGATTATACTGTTTTTATATTTTAATATAATAAATATTTACATAATCCCATAATTAAAACCTGATATTCAAGGTGTTTTATTATTGCCAGCATGTTTAAATTGTTTATTTTTTTACTTTGTAATAATAATGGTGAGCACATCTCATATTAATATGTTTATTTTAAGACATGTTGTACTGCTGTAACTTCATACCTGGAGTTGTGTTTTGTTTCATTCACACGTTTGATTAATCTTTTTATTATTATTAGTCTGTTTACATCTCCAAAGCTTAAAATGTTCTCTTCCATCTTGTGATGTCATGAAGCAGTAGTTTAGTTTTCAACAGCTCCTTTTACCTTTTGTTCAGGAGAGATTGGCAATTCCAGGACTGAAATTATCCAAATAATTTTAGTGAAGGTGTATGGAGTTTAAAAATTCCAAACTAAGATGCCCTGTGTAACTTTCTGGTTAAGGGTCCGTCACCTACTTGTTTCATTGCTCTGCTGGAAATATTCCACAGTATGACATTAAATAGCTCTACCTTGGAAATTCCAATGCTTGAACTCATCCAAATGATTCTAGTGAAGGTGTTTGGAATGTTTTCAGTTTAAGAGAAGAACTCAGCCTAAATATACAGGATTTGTGCATTAAATAAACGTGTGAATGAAACAAAACACAACTCCAGGTCTGTTTGTGATGAGGAAAACAACATTAGAACAGAAAATAGCAATCATAATATTGGTCCTTTTTATAGGTGCATTGTGTAACTTTTTTGGTGGAGGGTCCATCAAATGCTTTTCTTCATGGAGATTTTATTGCTTTGTCTGGAATGTTCCACAGTATAAACCTTTCTATGTTCACGGAGACCAAACCAAACTAAGTTACAGGTTAGATCTGTGGAAAGGCCTGTTTTTCTTGGTATTTTTGAGCTATTAAACCACTTGTAATTGAATAAATGGAAGGTAGAGCTGTTTAATGTCATACTGTGGAGAACTCCAGGCAGAGGATTTACATATCTGTAGAAGCAAGACAACGATGGACCCCAAACCAAAAAGTTACACAACGCACCGTTAAATAAAAAAACAATAAAACTTTAGTCCGTCGTTACCATGTTGAAGCTGTACTGCTGATCAGACGAAAGCAAACAGGAGCCCTTTTAACATTGACGTACTCTCTTCGGCAGAACGTGAGTTTGATCCGTATTGATGGGACCACTCCTTCAGCCGAACGCCAGCTGCTGTGTGAGAAGTTTCAGCACTCCACTAAGCCCTATGTGGCGGTGCTGTCTATCACCGCCGCCAACATGGGTCTGACTTTACACGCTGCTGACCTGGTTATCTTCGCTGAGCTCTTCTGGAACCCTGGGGTAGGTTTTAACAAAGTTCCTTCTGTGTACGCTCAGACTTTGCTTGAGGCTGATGGGATGTGGGTATGAGAGACCAAAAGTAGGCCTGTCACGATAACACATTTTCAAGGATTTAGACCTAGACAGTGGTGGATAAAGTACTCAATTAAAGATGCACTATGTAACTTTTTGGTTAGTGGTCTGTCACCTGCTTGTTTCTATAGATAAGTCATTGCTCTGCCTGAAATATTCCACAGTATGACATTAAACAGCTCTGTCTTAGATGTTTGAAATTACAGATGATTTTATAGCTCAAAAATACCTAGAAAAACAGGCATTCTGACTGAGTAGAGTCTCCTCTCCACAGATCTGACTTGTAACTGGGTCTGTTTTGATCTCCATGATCTCCTTGAAGGTTTTAGTACCATACTGTGAAACATTCCAGACAAAGAAATAACATCTCCATGTAAAAAAGTATTTGATTGACCCTCCACTAGACCAGGACCAAAAATTACTCAAGTAAAAGTAAAAGTTCAAGTATCAAGAAGTGAAACTGTTGAACTACTGCTTAAAAATGTGCTTAAAGAGTAAAAAGTAAAAGTACAATTAAATCATCAAATGTACTTTGATAAACAATTTAGTTGATGTGAGACAATTGATTTCTTTATTTTTGTAGCTCTTTTTGTGTTTTTGTGTGTTTGTTTTGCTCAAAGTTGGGACATCAACTCAAATTAAATGTGCTGAAAATAAGTCTTAGCTTTTTCAGCAGGTCTTCAAAAGTAAAACACAGAAAAGTACTTTTTACTTTTCAGTCCAGATCTAAAATGTAGTGGATTGGAAAGTACAGATAGCTGCTCTCAAATGTAGTGAAATAAAAGTAAAACATATAATAGTAATATCCACTGTAAAAATGTACAGATACCTAAAAATGTAACTTTTAATTTTACTTTTACTTTTGTACTTTATTACCTTCCACTACTGGACTTAGACAAACTTTACTGATCCACAAGGGAAATGATTTGGACACAGTAGCTCACACATCACAATATAATATAATAAAGAGCATAAAACTGTAAAATGTAATAAATGTAAGGTAGAGTAATTTACTGCCGTACTGTGGAACATTCTACACAGATCCTCATCAGTATATTGAAGTTCAAAATTTATTATTGTGACAGACTTATGCTGCTAACACTTTTATATATATTTTTTAAAAACCTCAGAATTCAGAACACAGCCAACCCAGACATCCTTTTTCTTAAATGCAGTCTGGTCTTTGATTTCCTGAGTGTGGAACAAATCAAAGCAGACTAAAGTGAATGACAGTGGCTAGACATTTGCTGATAGAAAAACTGTTTTAATATCCTCTCCTCTTCACTATTGAAAACCACACAAAATGTCTTAAATAACCACCTTACAACTTCTAAAATAGAGCAAAAGTCAGGGTATTTCTTCAAAGTAATTGCAACACTTTTTCAGAAATGTGGGCTTTCTTAAGATTCTTGTAAAGTATGAATATAATTTTCCCATTTCAGGTCTTATGAATGACTTCACCCACATCACCTCTACAATAAAGCCACTCACAATAAGAAAAAGACTGCGATTATTAAGTGTAGGGGTGTGCAAAAATATTGAAATATCGATATTTTGTGATTAGAGATTGATCGATATGGGTTTTTCCACTGCTGAGACTCCAAATCAACCAATAGCCGATAAGCTCTGCTGATATTTTTGTTGATTATTTTTCTCAAATTATGTAATTTAATGGTACTACAAACCCACCCACAGCCCTTTTTTTTTTTTACCACAAACCCATAAGAGAACTGTGTGGTCATGTTTTGTGCTTTTCTTTTCTTATTAAAGTGTTAAAATTAAGCTTTGTGTGTGTTTTTAAGCCACAGATTGACCAAAGCTAAATATGTATTGTATTTTTTTGTATCTACTAGCAATTTCTTTTGTCAGTGTCCTTCAATTTTGTTGCTTATTTATTGAAAGGAAACTTATTTATGCATTACACTTGTCACTGTTTTCATGATTAAAATAGATGTATTTATGCACAGGTTGGGGTTTAACAAATAAATGCTGTTGCTAAAATATATTTGGTTCTTAAAGATGCACTATGTAACTGTGGAGGGTCAGTCACCTGCTTGTTTCTATGGATATGTCATTGCTCTGCCTGGAATGCTCCACAGTATGGCTTTAAACAGCTCTGCCTTACATTTTGTCAATTATTCAACTAAAAAATACCTAGAAAAACAGGCATTCTTTCTGTGAGCGGAGTCGCCTCTCCACAGATCTGACCTGTAATGTGATCTGGTTTGGTCTCCATGAAGAAAGAAAGATTTAATACCATAGTGTGAAACATTCCAGACAAAGCCACCTTGAAAAAAACACAACATATCACAGTAAAAAACTATTGCATTCATTGCCAAATCGTGACAATATCATATCATGTGACTTGGATATCGTTACACCCCTAATAAAAAGTAAAAGTGATTGGCACATATTTTGAGATCTTAAAGGCTTCTAATGTAGTGATTTCGTGACAATTGAATGCGTTGTTTTTTTCCAGCTGTTTTTCTTTGTATATTTTTGTTTGCTCAAACTACAAATGTGTGAAAATCAAACCCCTTGCCTTTTCAGATAGTCTCAAACACTGTTCAAAAAGTGAAGTAAAAGCAAAAAATATCCACTTTAAAATGTACTTTAAGGTGCATTGTAAATCCGTGTATCATTCGTTCATTAGTTTTTCAAAATAAAACCAAATCTTGAAAGAAAACAGCAACATATCACAATAAAAAAGACAACTGCATTTATCGCCAAATTGTGATAATATCGTATCGTGAGCCGTGTATCCTGTATTGTATGGAATCATTGAGAGACCCTGTGATTCCCAGCCTTAATCAAGTGTAATCTTTTGTCATTACTATGACAGATTTTGCATTTTGTTTCAGGTCCTCATTCAGGCAGAGGACAGGGTGCATCGAATTGGACAAACCTGCAATGTGAACATCCACTACCTGGTTGCCAAGGGAACAGCTGATGACCACCTTTGGTACGTATGCATCAATGGCAGATACTTTGCTACTGTTCACCCTGTACTTATGTTCACTTTTGAGCCACACACAGACTGTAACTTGGTACTCAGTCTGAAGTGTGATATATATTGATTTTATTCTTATACAGGCCGCTTATCCAGGAGAAAATGAACGTCTTGGAGCAGGTCGGTCTGTCTGAGTCAAATCTCTCAGAAAATGCAATCAACTCCAGCTTCCACTCAAAGGTAAGCTATAGAATCACTGATATAGATATACGTGTGTGTTTCAGTCCGTGGTGGAAGAAGGGAAAAAAATCGACTTAAGTAAAAGTATTAAAGCACTAGTTTAAAAATTTGCTTAAACAGTAAAGTGTAAAAGTGTTTTGCACATATTTTGAGATCTTAAAAGGCTTCCAATTCAGTGATTTTGAAACAATTGAATGAGTTGTTTTTTCCAGCTATTTTTCTTAGTATATTTTTGTCTCCAAACCAAAATGAAAAAATTGATAACGATTTTTTTTAAAATTTATTTTCAATTTTGTGTTTAAATGAATAATTGAAAAAATGGATAACGGCCATACGGACTGAACTAGGACAGATCCCAGGACTGAAACGGGACTAAAACGGTTCTAAAACAGGATTAACTAGGTCTAAACCAGGACTAAACCAGGTGTACCAGGACTAAACTGGTCTCAGTCCTGATCTCAGACCGGGACTGAGACCGGGACCAAACTGAGACTGAGTTCCGGTCTGACTCCCGGTCTCAATCTCGGTCTAGTCCTGGTCTCAGTCTAGGTCTCGGTCTCGGTCTGGTCCCGGTCTGTTTCCCGGTCTCAGTCCTGACCACAGTCTATGCAGGTGCACCTCCAGGCCTGTCCCGACACTCCTGGCTCTGTCCTGGCTCTGTCCTGGCTCTGTCCTGGTTCAGTCCTGGTTCAGTCCTGGTTTAGCCCTGGTTTAGTCCTGGTTTAGGGCTGAGACCAGGACCGGGACCAGACCGTGACCAGGACCGGGATCAGACCGGGACTGAGACCGGTTTAGTCCTGGTTCAGATCTGATTTAGACCTTTCTATTGTCATGGAGACCAAACCAGACCAATTACATGCCAGATGTGGAGAGACAACCCCGCTCACAGTCAGAATGCCTGTTTTTCTAGGTATTTTTGAGATATAAAACCACCTGTAATTGAATAAATGTAAAGTAGAGCTGTTTAATGTCATACTGTGGAACATTCTTCACATAGACTTTTTCTCCGATATCTTCAGTGACAGGTTTCAGCAAGTTTGAGAATACTTTTGAAACACCCAGATAACATTTGTATATCTTTTAAGTCAATATTATTTTTGTTTTTAGGACCCAAATCAGAGGAGCATCATGGACATGTTTCAGAGATCATTCACAGATGAAGATGCCATAGATGAAGCTCTCTTGTTAGAAGCTGCAAACGAATGGGACGACACCTCCACATCTGCTGACAAAAACACAAGCAGCAATCCTAATCTGGTAACACAAAACACAACCAAATGAAGCATTGGGGACTATTTCAAGCGATAACAAAACCCGGAATAAATGTAAATGAGTATATACAGCTGAAAGTTATATTTTATTCCCCCATGATGTCCAAATATCATGACTGAAGTTGTGTTGTAAAAATGAATAGATGTAAAGTGATACGTTAATAAAAAGGATTTCTTTTACAAAGCAGATATAAATCCCTGACTCCAGAGGCTGTCTATCCATGAATTATTAATACTCCCCAGCAGAGAGGCATACAGCATGTGGTCACGGGGCATTCCAACCACCACAAATCTATGAAGTGTATTTTATTACCACATTTACTGCACAATCTGGTTGTTGTTTCTGTTTTGTCAGAGGATGCTAGTGTACAGATATGTCTTGCCGTTTGTTTCATTGGTCTGGGTCGTCACTTTCTTGTGTTTCGGTCTCTGTGCTGTAGAGATGCAGATCAGGGGGGAGACCTGTGGGCAAAAAAGTGAAAATACAAGAATTATACAAGCAGTGATGGGAAGAATACTACTGAAAATGTAGTTACAGAATACTGAATACCCAAATTAAAATGTATTTTGTTATCTATTCCGATACATGGCCAATCAGAGTATTGTGTTGTGAATACTTTTACAGTGAGTTGCATTATATACTATATATATATAACTACAAACAGTTTTATTTTTATTGCACTGTTTCTGGAGTGTCTGCTAACTGCTTGTCTCCATGGAAATGCTATTGCTTTGTCTAGAATGTTCCACACTACAGAATAAATCTATCACGAGGGAGACGAGGAGGTTACAGCATTACGCTACATTACAATTCAGATCTGTGAAGAGTCACCCCAAGTCTGATTCATCAGCCGATTTCACTTTGTGGAAACCGTCTGACCTCGCAGCATTAGGATTCGTTTGCGCGACGGTCGAGTACTTTTTAAAATTTAACCAATCGCTGCTATTTGGTTGATAAAATTCACCAAACATTCTCTTGTTCCTCGATCTCGGGAATTGTTGCCAACACAGAATGTATGGCTCTTCGCTGATTGGCTGGTGCCCAAACTCGCACTTCCGGGGTTCTTGCAAACCGTCTAATGTATTCCGATTCCTGACCTAGTCGCTGGAGAGAAATTAAATTGAGCGGAGGCACTAGGTGGTGCCAGCCTGGCTAGGTCTCCCCTACTCACAGAAGGAATTAATGTATTTTTGAGCAATAGAAACACCTCTAAAGAATAAATGCCAAATGGATATATAATGTCATACCGTGGAACATTCCAGGGAAAGCAAAAACATCAACATTGGAGACAAGTAAGTAGTGGACCTTACACCCGAAAAGTTGCACAGCGCACCTTTTTACTTGCAGTGCTCAGCATAAATGAATACACCTCTTTTGAAAAGTCACATTTTAAACAATATGTCAGTGAACACAAAACATTTGCAAAATGTGCACAGACTAATTTTAATGCAATATTTTAGGACAACAATCTAAGGTTAATATTATAACTTGGATTACATAATTTTCAGTTTTAGTGAAATTAGGGTGGTGCAAAAATGAGTACACCCCACAACAAAACCTACTACATCTAGTACTTTGTAGGGCCTCTATTATTTATAATGACTGCTTCAAGTTTTCTAGGCCTGGAATAAACAAGTTGGCAACATTTGGCAACATCAATCTTTTTCCATTTTTCAGCAATGACCTTTTTCAGAGACTGGATGTTGGATGGAAAGTGATGCTCAACTTGTCTCTTCAGAATTCCCCAAATTTATATTATTAACCTTAGCTTTTTGTCCAAAGTTCAACAGATACTGTATTAAACTTAGTCTGTGCACATTTTGCTAATATTTTTTGTGTTCATTGTTCGTATTGTATAAAATGTTACTTTTCAAAGGGGGTGCACTCATTTATGCTGCACACTGTACATCTAATTAGGGATGAAAAATTAAAAGGAATGTATGCCAAAAATGCACATATTCCTTTTCATTTAGGAAAGTAACTGTCACTGAATATCATAGAGTGGAAAAGTAACTGTACTGGAATACAGTCACTCAAAATGAGTATTTAGATTATTTTCAGATATTTTCAGTTAGAGATAGACCGATGTATCGTTTAGCCGATATTTGACCTTTTAAGTGTATCAGCTATCGGCCATAAATCTCCTGTAGAAGTTGATATTTTGTTCGGCTCAACCAGCTGCCTAAATATGCATGAAGCTTTAGTCCAAAGAAAGTACCGGTACAGCAAAAATATGTCTACACTGCTTTATTTGATAATTTGGGAAAAATTACCTGAATAGGTGCTACATATCAGCCCAAAAATATCAGTAGAGATCATTGTCCATTGGTGTTGGATTCTAAACTATCGGTATCAGCATTGGCCATGAAAAAATGTATGTGGATCTCTATTTTTGGTCCATGTTTTCAGTTATTTCCCCACACTGTATACAGTGTAAAGAGACAGACTTCCACTGACACTGCATAGTTTGAATCTGATGACAGCCAAGAGAGCTCTTTCAATAAAGCAAGTGCATTTAAATTCTGCCAACAACTGGAGGGGTATTTGAAACATATTGCTGGCAAAAGGGATATTTTTGAAAAGGACTCTCCGAAGTAAAGATGTTTGGAGGTTTCTCAATTGTGAAAACACAATTTTGCATAATATTCTGAAGAATGGAACAAATGCTTTCTCAGGATTGGTTGGTTTGAGCGTGTTTAAAGGACACATATTACACTATTTTTTACACTATTTTCTCATCTACGTTATAATGTAGTTTCACACACGTTTAACGCACAAACCCTGCATATTTAGTCTGTTTCATCTTATGATATCAGGTGGTAATACAGGAAGTGCTCCACTAAGGCTGTGCAATTAATCGAATATCGTGATTTCGTGTCAAACGATCTCCAAACTCATATAATCGAGCTGAAACGATAAAGCTTAACAAAATTTATTTTGGGATTTTTTTTATATAAATAAGTATATTTATTGTAGAACAGCTGGATATATAGTTTATTTTGGATACATTTATGTTTTTCTCTGCCTTATTTCATGTTCAAAGTATATTTTAGTCATTTTATGTTTTATACATCACAAAACTGCTCTAAGGTACAGAGCCTGAATTTATTTTCAATTTGAAAGTTTTGCATAAATTATCAATATATATATATTTTTTTTAAGAGAGAGAGAAATGCTGAATAAATGCATTGTTTAAATAAAAAATAATCATTGAATAATCGTGATTTCAATATTGACCATAATAATCGTGATAATGATTTCTTCCATAATCGAGCAGCCCTATGCTCCACTGTGTTTTTAAACTCCATGCACCTTCACTAGAATCATTTGGAGGATTTCAGACTTGAAATTAACACTCTCTAATGAACAAAAGGTAAAAGGTAGGTGTTAACTTGAAAACTTCGGCTTCGTGACATCACAAGGTGGAACAGCGCATTTTGAGCTTTGGAGATGTAGACAGACTAATGATAAACATGTGAATGAAACAAAACACAACCCCAGTTATGTTGAGGAGGTAACAACATTACAACGTGGCTTAAATTTAGCTCATAAGAATCAATTTTCATAATTTTCACCACACTATTTTAAATATAGAACTAATGAATGTCTTTTTTTATTTTGAAGATAATCCATACACCAGCGCAGTATAGGGGGTTGGTTTTCCATCTCCTATACCCCACTTACTGTAGAGATAGTCATTCACAGTCTGCTCTCATTTCTCATCTGTAAAACCTATTTACACTTAAGTAAAGGGGGAGTGATCCTTGGCAATAAGAATTCTTAAGTGAAATGGTGCTCTACCTCGACAGCTGTTGGGCTTCATAAAAATGCAGTTGGTTCTTTACACACAGATACAGAGCAGTTTGGATGAGTGTTTCGGATGCTGCCTGTGACATTATGAAGACGAGTAGCTTTGCTGTTATATAAATCAGGAAAACACAGACTCATCATCATAGCAATCTACTGGAAATTGTTGCAGGATGTATTTTCCAAACCCACATAACCAATAGACTGTCACTGCTGTTGAAAATAATGCTGCCTTATGTGCTTTTTGGATCCACTCCGCAACAGGTCAGTAATGGAGGACCCAAAGTTTTGTTATTTTGTTGGGAAACTTTCACGGAAACTCTGTAATGAGCTCAAACATTGTATGGATGTAGAAAAAGACATTTTTTTTTCTTGTCATTTTGATATCACAGGTCTTTGTTCCCAGCACATGGTGTCTAGAGTTTGTTTATCGCGCAGATGGCAATTAGCAATTATTAAATTAGTCCCTGATTATGTAAATAAGTAGTTCCCAAAGTGAAAGTTGGGGTTGTGAGGCACTAAACTGGTTTTAAGATACAATTACATTAGAAAAAAAAAAAAAAAGTATGACAATGTATTAAACAAATCCCTTGATGTAAAACAGCATGTTGTTTCAGAAAACTGGCTCCAATAACACAATACATATTCAAATAAACATTAAAGGGCTCATATTACACTATTTTATGATCTATGTTATGATGTTTTCATCATCACAAACAGACCTGGGATTGTGTTTTGTTTCATTCACACATGTTTAACACAAAAAACCTGCGTATTTAGGCTGAGTCCTTCTCTCAAACTAAAAACACTCTGCTTCCCCTTGTGATGTCAGAAAAGAAACAAAACACAACTCCAGGTATGTTTTTGAGGATGCAACAACATTATAATATGGCTTAAGTCAATTTAGTGTAATATAGGACCATTAAACCATCGTCTTGACACTTAAATTCACCGCTGTCAATTTGATTCTGCAGTGGTGTTTGTGAGGTTGTCGAATGGTTAATTTGGGGGTTCCAGCCTAAAAAGTTTGAAAACCCATAATTTAAATAGTCAAATGGTTGTGAGTAATTGTAACCTTTAAGAGAGCAAGTAGATTTTAAACCAATTTGGGACTAAATTACACCATTTTCATGAATTTCATCCACAGTGAACCAAGAAGTCTACACCTTTGGACCAAGACCCATGATTTGAGGCACTGTTTTGGATGTATTAAAGGGACAGTCTGGAATTTTGGACATAGGACCTCATTTCCTAGTTAGCCAGAGTGTTGGAGACGTGTGGAGACACTTTTTAAAATATTCCGTCCAGTCCTTGTATTTGCAGAGGTCGCTTGTGCTAGACTAGTGCATGTCAATGGCCATAGTTATCCTGCCACTAAAAACAGTCTTATTCACTCCACAAAACACCCGAAGCAAATCTGTTATTACGCCAGACTGTCGATGTAAATGTCTGTGTTGATCAAATAATGTCTAAAATAAAACTAACCTTGCATTGCATGAATCATTGCATGTTGAGGGACTATTTTCTCATATATCAATCGGCTGCTGCCAAGCTTTTTATCAGGAAATACAACTTGCTGCTGCTGCTCAGACATAAATCCTTCAAATGCAAGGTTGGTTTTACTTCTAAAATGATTCTATCGACACAGACATTCACATCGACAGTCTGGCGCTATAATTGTTTTGCCTCAGGTGCTTTGTGGAGTGGGTAACACTGTTTTTAGTGGCAGGATAACTGTCGACATGCACTAGCCTAGCATCAGCGACCTCTGCAAATACAAGGACTGGATGGAATATTTAAAAAAGTGTCTCCACATGTCTCCAACACTTTGGCTCACTAGGAAATGAGGTCCTATGTCCAAAATTCCAGATTGTCCCTTTAATAATAATAACAATGCATTACTCTTATATAGCACTTTTCCAGACGCTCAAAGTCGCTGTACAGTTTGATGCATTATTCATTCATTTCATACCCAGGTGAAGTGTCTAGCCTAAGGACACAACAGTTTTTTTTTTGTTTTGTTTTTTAACCTAGTGCCCCACTGTAGCACTTGATTTTCCCAGCTGTCTCTCATCCAAGTACTGACCAGGCCCGGCCCTGCTTAGCTTCTGAGATGTGACGAGATTAAAGTTTGACAAAGAGGTTTGGCTGCACAATACTGATATAAAAATTCTACTGTTACCGTCATACTGATGGTCCGACAAATGCCCTGAAGAACTTGACAGCCCAGTGTTCTCATCTGTGGTGTTGCTTTGCTCTTTAACTGGAAAAAAAATACATATTCATACATTTTCTATACACAATTTGATGAAAAAATATTATACTTTTTTATTTTCTTTTACCAAAAACATATCCTTCGGTTTCTGCCTCACTGCTGGTCACTTGCTCTGCACTGAGATCACCAAACAATAGCTGTATTTCTCTGTCTGCCTGGTCTACGCTGGAGGAGCCATGGACTGCATTGTGTAAGATGTCAGAGCCGAAGCGGGCCCTTAACAATTCCGGGGACATCTCCTTGGCTTTGTCTGGGTCTGTGGGGCCCATCAGCTCCCTCCACTCCTCCACCGCATTCTCCTTAGAGAGGACGAGCAGCAGACAGGGTCCACTGAAAACAAAGCAACGGGAACAAATGAGTCATGTAGGTAACATAGGTAAAAAAAAATATGTGAGTGAAACTGACAGTGTACACAGGTGGAGACCATTTTGAAATAATTTTGTAAAAAAGATGCGGACCTAGCTTCAGAATCAGAATTATTTGTCATTTCAGTATAAAAATACACAGAAACGATGCACTACACTCAGGTTATCAGTAGTATAAAAACAGTATAAGAAAAATAGCTTAAAATACTGTATGTCAAGTGCAGTCTTTAAAGGTGCATTGTGTAACTTTTCTGGTGGAGGGTCCATCAAACGCTTTTCTCCATGCCAGGCCAAGTTACAGGTCAGATCTGTGGAGAGGCGACCCCGCTCACAGTCAGAATGCCTGTTTTTCTAGGCATTTTTAAGCTATAAAACCACCTGTAATTGAATACATGTAAGGTAGAGAGCTGTTTAATGTCATACTGTGGAATATTCCAGGCAATAGAATGACATATTAACAGAACTAAGCAGCTGATGGATCAAAAAGTTGCATAGTGCACCTTTAGGGTTAGGGTTAGGGTCTTATTTTCATATTCAGCTTCATCTTTTAAACACAGTTTTGGGACTTGTCACGATAAAAACATAATTTGTTGTAAATTGTTAATTGCTATAGCAACGGTCATCATTTTTAATTATTCTCAAACGCCTGAATAGTTTATTTGTTTTAGTGTCCATGGAATGGTCAATGCTCATGGATTAAAGTGAAAAAAAATAAAATAAAATCATCAGAATTTTTTCTTGTGTCATGTCATGGGCCTATACCCACCTCGGCAATGCACACAGCACAAATGCTTTATGAAGAATAATTAGCCTAAATTGTATTTAAACTGAGGAAAACCACAACCTTCTTGAACTTTATGTAGTAGTAGTAGTAGTAGTAGTAGTAGTAGTAGACCTCGTAGTAGCCTAAAGCCAAATTGTTTCATAGCCGCTGTGCTGGTAGCCTACACTGAAGTAGCGTGGCATTTATTTAGCGCACAACAAAGCTTTAAAACATATGCTCCAAAAACCTGTCACAAGAAAGGGTTCAAGCAAAATAGATCACATGCCTTTCCCATCTCCCCTTATCTGTATCAGTCTCATGATTGACCTCGAGCGCCTTCAGTTGATGGAAATGCGTCACAGGGATGGACAACTTTAATCCATGAATGGTTTGTCTAAAATGTTCCACAGTACGACGTTCAACTTCTCTACCTCTGCAGAGACAACCACCATCAACAGGCCAAGTTACAAGTCAGATCTGTGGAGAGGAGACCCTGCTCACAGTAAGAATTTTCCTTTTTTTCCCCAGTAATACACCTCTAATTTAGTATTATACAATGGAACATTTCAGGTAGAACCCTAACATCTCTATGGAGACAATCAGTGTCACACAATGCATCTTTAAATCAGTGTATAAAACAACTGAGCAAAAAGAAATCTGTAGTTTAGACAACGTGTGTAATACCATAGTTTTTTAGACAGAGCCAGACGCTGAGCTGAGTGTGCGAGACAGTCAGGGTGAGCTCTTTTCCACTAGTGCTGCTAGACTGATATTTCTGCTATTACTGTCTGGGCAGCTGTTTTAAAGGTGCATTGTGTATTTGTTTCTATGGATATGTCATTATGAGTATGACATTAAACTGATTACATTTATTCAATTACAGGTGCTTTTATAGCTCAAAAATACCTAGAAAAACAGGCATTCTGACTGTGAGCAGGGTCATCTCTCCAAAGATCAGACCTGGAACTTGGTCTAGTTTGGTCTCCATGAGGATAGAAAGGTTTAATGCCATACTGTGAAACATTCCAGACAAAGCAACAACATCTCCATGTAGAAAAGTCTTTGACAGTGAACCTTTTAAGGCACTAATCAGAATAAAAAGGCAAATCTTAAATCTAGATGACAATTGGTACAATAGATGACAACAACATAGTCTTCTTACTCAGATTAGGTAGGTCTACTCTGATTTAAATAAAATACTAGATTTTCTGTTGCAAGAGCTGATTAAACTTTCAGAAGCAGTGCTGCAAATCTCTTTAATGTCTTTGAAACTGCCCTTTTGTGACTCCATTTTGGACAGGTCTAAACAGGATCCTCAAATACATCAGTTGGGAGTGCTGACATCGGCGTTCAAATGGACTTTTTATTGAGATTCGGATAATTGTCCAAACAAACCTGGCGTGTAATAGTTATTTTGTGGTTAATTATTAAAGGTATCAGATAATAGGGCCCAGCTCTGCCAGGCTCTGCAGGTGCCACTTTCCAACCAATAGAGAAGAGTGAAGTGAACTGATTTGACCCTGACTTGCTGCAGTGGTGGAAGAAGTAATCAAACTGTGTTACTTAAGTAAAAGTTCAGATACCAAAGCAAATAAAAAAAAGGCTCAAGTAAAAGTATCACATGAAAAAATCTACTTAAGTAAAAGTATTAAAGTACCGGTTTAAAATGTGCTTAAAGAGTAAAAAGTAAAAGTATTTCACACAGATTTGAGATCTTATAAAGCTTCAAATGTGGTGATTTTAATAAAGATTTGCGCTGAATTTTGTTCAGCAGAAACAACTAAATTGTTTTTCTCTATCTGTTTGCTGTTTGCTTGCTCAAACTATGGCCTTGATAGAAAATTATTTCCAGCAGGTCTCACAAAATAATACAAATACCTTTACTTTTCAAAATGTAGTGAAGTACAGAAACCTAAAATTTTTACTTTATTATAATAATTTACAACTTTTTCTCCATTATGTTTTGCCTCTGCTTGTTTGTAATGGTAGCCTACTGTAAATAAAGAGTTTCACTAACCTACAAATGAACTGGACCAGCTTATTGAAGAATGACTCCTCTTTGTGATCTCTGTAAAACTCCTCGGCCACTTCCTTGGACAAAAACGTCTCCTGTTTATTTTTAATTGTAAATCCTTTGCTGTGAATCTTCTCCAAAATCTCATCTGTTAGAATGAAAAACACGGCACACATGTAAAGAAAAAATAACGGTCCACATCTGTACATATCTGCAGCAGTATTGATATCAGTAATTGTGCGTGCGTGTATTAGCTGTAAAAATATGTCATCATTCTTACAACCTACTCATAGTTTGGAGTGTCACATTTTTTGCCTCGTGTATGCTGTGCGGACCGCGCCTCTAAACCAGAACTAAAACCAACCAGGACTAAAATCAGGACTAAAATGAGGGCTAAAATCAGGACTAAACTAGAAATAAAACCAGGACTAAACCAGAACTAAAACCAACTAGGACTAAACCCAGGACTAAACCAGGACTAAAATCAGGATTAAAACCATGTCTCTACCAGAACTAAAACCAGGACTAAACCAGAACTAAAACCATCCAGGACTAAAACCAGGACTAAACCAAGACTAAAATCATGACTAAAACTAGGTCTAAACCAGGACTAAAACCAGGACTAAAATCAGGAGTAAAACCAGGTCTAAACCAGGACTAAAATCAGGACTAAAACCAGGTCTAAACCAGGACTAAAATCAGGTCTAAACCAAGTTTAAACCAGGACTAAAATCAGGTCTAAACCAGGACTAAAATCAGGTCTAAATCAGGTCTAAACCAGGTCTAAACCAGGTCTAAACCAGGACTAAAATCAGGTCTAAACTGGAACTAAGCCAGGACTAAACCAGGATTAAAATCAGGACTAAAACCAGAACTTAAACCAGGACTAAAATCAGGATTAAAATCAGGTCTTAACCAGGTCTAAACCTGGTTTATGTCCAATTCTAAAGACATGATACTTAAAGTTAAAGCTATACGCCATGTTGTAATGCTGTTCAAATGCTGGTCAAAAACATACCCGGAGTTGTGTTTTGTTTCATTCACACATTTTTAATACAAAACAACATGCCTTAAAGCTCACAAGCGTCAGTTTTGTGTAATATAGGACCTTTAATACCTCGTAAACTTCACCCACCTTTATGCTCCTCCATAACATCAGGTTTGACGATAGCCAGAGTGTGTTGTTTGGGAAAGAAGAAGTTGATCTCGTGCTTTGCCTCCTCTGTGCTGGAGCTGCCGTGGAGCTGGTTGATGGGGTCGCCCTCTGAACAGAACAGGGCTCTCAGACTGCAGGGTGGGGACACAGGAGTCAGCGTGTGATCTGATGGTTTTCAGGTAAGTGCAGTCATTTTCTCCACTTCTCCAAGCCATCTCACTCAGTCTGTCCAGTCCAGTTCAGTTAGTCATTTCCTGAAAACTGTCGGAGAAAAAAACTACAAAAATGGGATCAATGGACAATTCAGGGAGAAAGAAAAGGTAGTGCACTGCAATCACACAAAGAGGTGGATTTCATTCTGTGCAGAAGTGGAGATATTCTTTGCTTTATGCTTTTGTATTTAATGAATTGAAAAGAGAGGTCTGGAGATGTGTTCTATCCAGGAAGTGCTTTTCTTCATTAGTGGTCCCATGGTGACGTCATTGGACTAATGGACTGGCGAATGTATGGATATAAATTAAAGCTCCTATATTATGCAAAAACAACTTTTAGTTATGTTATAATATTGTGACCTGCTCAAAAACATACCTGGAGTTGTGTTTTGTTTCATTCACACATGTTTAAGTACTCCTACATTATTAGTCTGTCTACATCTCCAAAGCTCAAAACGCTCTGTTCCACCTTGTGATGTCATGAAGAGCTAGTTTTCAAGTTAACAGCTCCTTTTACCTTTAGTTCAGTAGAGATTGGCAAATCCTGGGCTGAAATCACCCAAATAATTCTAGTGAAGAAAGACAGGAGCAGCACCATACCTGTACCATATTTTCCGGACTATAAGGTGCACTGTCATTGAATGGTCTATTTTCGAACTTTTTTCACAAATAAACCGCAACGGACTTTAAACGAAACACAACAGTTGGATGGGTTAGTGGGACTTTGTTTGGCGCGTTCACGGTGACTCTGGGCTTTGTTCAGTTGTGGCATGTAGGGAGGGTGCTGTCTGGGACCGCTGGATTGTTGGCATGTTCGCAGTGACTCAGTTGTGCATTTGTGGCTAGAAGTTGCACTCGCTTTTTCAGTTCGTTCCTCCGTTCCATTCGTCATCCGTGTGGAGTGATGAGTGTGGCTGTGGGTGTTTTTTGCTGCGCGGTCGCTGTCTGCTCCGTGCGTGTTTGCGTGCGCTGCAGGTGTCGTGCTGGGACACTCGAGGGGATTTGTGTATAGGGCGTTCTGGATTGTGGGGCATGCAGTCGTTTTTTGATGGGTTTGGGGGCTTATGAGCGCTCCCTGTGGTGCGGAAAATACGGTAAATCCACAGCGCATTCTCACTTTCGACACACGGATCCAGTGGTCTTGCTCGCCCCGGGGAAACAGAGGTACGGGGACACAAACATGATACAAACGTTTTTCACCATCTTGCAGTGTGTCATCGCGTCGGAAGGGTGACCGCTTATTTTTTAAGTGGAATAAACGTTTACATGACCTCGGAATAAATTAATTCGGCTTTATACTGAATAATCATTATGAATTAAGTGTTCACATGGTCTTTTTAAAGCAGAATTCATTTTTATTCTGAGTTAGATTATTAGATTATTCGGAGTTAAAGCTCTCAGGTAAATGGGGCACTCGTGATGTCATGAAGAGGTAGTTTTCAAGTTAACAGCCCCTTTTATCTTCAGTTCAGATGGGCAAATCCTGGGCTGAAATTATCCAAATGATTCTTGTGAATGTGTATGGAGTTTAAAAACAGGTGGAAGGTGGAAGTGTTTTCTGTTTAAGAGAAAAACTCAGCCTAAATATGCAGGGTTTGTGTGTTAAACATGTGTGAATGAAACAAACACAACTCCAGGTCTGTTTGTGATAAGGAAACATTATAGTATAGATCAGAAAATAGTGTAATACAAGCCCTTGAAAGACAGAACTCACCATTCTGGATTTTCATCTTTAGCTTCAACCACATCAGACGGACCAAGCATGTTTTTCCAATCCTGGACTGCCTCAGCTTTAGCCAGCACTAAAGCCAGCACAGGTCCACTGTAACAAATAAGAGTGTCACCTATCTTCAGTTTGGTGTTAAAAAATCATTGACATTTTCTTTGACTTTTGTGCTTGCTGTGATGCTTCAGACCAAAATATCAAATGAACAATTTATAGTGTAGAGACAAAGGTTAAAAAAACAACTACAGTTATTATGCATTCAAGTCAGTTAAAGGTCCTAAACTGATGTTACATATTGTACAAAACTTTAAGCCTTGTTAGAATGTTAGAATTGTGTTTTGTTTCTTTCAGACATGCTTGATTAATCCTTTTTTATCAGGCTGTTTACATCTCCAAAGCTCAAAATGCTCTGTTTAACCTTGTGTAGTCACGTATTGGTAGTTTAGAAGTTAACAGCTACCTCTTTATTGAGTAGAAACTGGAAATTTCAGGGCTGAAATTTTCCAAATGATTGTAATATGGAGGCATATGGAGTTTATTTTATGTATTACCACATGAAATCACAAGGAGTGTTTTCTGTTTGGGAGAAGAACTCAGCCTAAATATGCAGGATTTATGTGTTAAATGTGTGTGAATGAAACAAATCACAACACCAGATATGTTTGTGATGAGGAAACAACATTAGATCAGAAAAAAAGTGAATAGTATAGGTCCTTTCTTTATATAAAATTGCAGTGTATACCCAGAAATACGGTCGATAAGTATAAAGTATGACAGTCTGCAAGTTACCTGGTCATAGTTTTGAGCAGTGCTGGGAAGTAGCTCTTATCCTCTTGTTGGGAGTAAAACTGTCTGACCTCCTCCTCTGTCAGCGTCACCTCTCTCTGAAGAGTCACAGTGAAGCCCGCCTCGTGGATTCTGTTCAGGATTTCATCTGAAAATATGAATTTAAACAAAAGAGGAGTCATTACTGAAATATTCACATCCAAAGAGTCAAAGTTGTCAAATTCTCTTGTCATTTATGTGTCCTTTGAAAAGTGAGCTGTTAAAGGGTCCGTTATAATGTTGTTTCCTCATCACAAACATACCTGGAGTTATGTTTTGTTTCATTCACACGTTTAACACACATATTTAGGCTGAATTCTTCCCTCAAACACATGACATCACAAAGTGGAACAGAGCATTGGAGATTTAGACAAACTAATAGTAAAGAGTTTCTCAAACATGTGTGAATGAAACAAAACATAACTTTATGGATGTTTTTTTTAGGAGGTAACTGCATTATAACATGGCTTAAAGCTCACAGTCAGCAAGTTTAAATGTAATTTTTTTTTAAAAAAGGCCATATGAGTATGAGCCGTATGAGCGCATAAGCAATGGTTGTCAGAGCATTACAAAAGGGTTTCAAGTTCACATTATAGAATTTGATGTTAAGATTTTATGAATGGCAAAGGGCAGATGTAACTCAATTGGAGAGAAAAATGTGCAGAAGAGACGACATTGAACTTAGCATCAGTTGTCATTTCATATGAAAAGGCCCAGAAATGACAAAGATTTGAATCGTTTGAATAAATTATACAATCGAACTTCTGCTCTCCACCTCAAGTTGAAATTATATAATGACATTAACAACAGTATCAAAAATCAGATCATAACTGATACTTATTATTAGTGGTGTGCAAAAATATTGAAATATCTATATATCGTATTGTTTAATGTGATGATACAGTATCGATATCATGAGCTGCTGTATCGATATATCACCAAGAGTATTTTGGTGTATTTTAATAAGTTATTTTGTTACAGAGCAACAGTTTTGTGGTTTGTTTAGAGCAGGCATGTCCAAACCTCTAAACTTTAGAGGAAGGAAAATCGTTTATGCGACACATTTGACATTTTCACTGGTTTGAGGATTAAAATGGGCGTGTTTCATATTAACTTTGCACAGGAAGTGGTTTAACAAAGATCACAACCTCGATTTAGCCCTTATTTTTTATGGAACCGTATCAAATCGATTTGAAATAAATCGCTTCGAACCGAAAGTGCACTGTATTGAGAAAGGTACTGTATCGTGGCCTATGTATCGAGGTATGTATCGTATTGGAAACTTCTTAATGATGCCCAGCCCTACTTAATATCCTTTAATTAATTTTCTGTTAGTAATGTTTTTATCTGTCTCCGTGCAGCACTTTGGAAAATGTCTGTTTATTAAATGTGCTATATAATTAAAGTGGATTGAACTCTAAAACCAGCATTAAAACTAGATACTAATTTCAGTATTGCATCAGAACAAGTATAGTACCACATAGACAAGTATACGCCACATGGTAATGTAAAAGAAAATACTGTGATTTAATGTTGAAAATTCTATTGCCTATTAAAGAAATTATTGCGGTATTGGAATAGGTTATAAGTAGGGATGTAACGATATCAAAATCAACGATATTATCACACTGTGCATCTCACGGTATGATATTTATTTTGGAGAGGCTGATATAATTGTAAATAGGACACTTTTTTGCTTTTAAAATACCCTGTCAAGATTTTGGTGTGAGTTATTACCATAATCCCAAGAATTCAAGTAAAAATCATATTACTTCATGTTGTCTGCACTGCAATGAATCATGGGATATGTAGTTCCCGATGTTCATAAGATGTTGCTACTATAAAACCACGCATTTAAGCAAAGGAAGTCAATATATTGTGAGACTTTTGACGATTCAATATCACGATATTTCGGTTATTGTTACATCCCTAGTTATAAGTATGGAGTCTATTCCTTAGTGAGTTTGAGATTTTAGTATCATAAAACACTAACTAACATCACAGCATGAACGCAACCCCTTCAAGAATATCTGTATTTTCAATTACGCTCAAAACTAATGCATAAACTCAAACTCATGCTTTGAAATTGCTTTGAAATACCACCACATCTTTTCATCAGCCTATATGCAGATTCACAGCACATCCCCTTATGCCAGTGTGCTTGTTTTTGTTGCACTTGGCACCTGCCCTACCCCTTCTCTCTCGGGCAACGCCAGGCCGGATGAGCGCCAGTGTCCTCTCCGCAGGCTCTTCCTTCCCATCATGCTCGGCGGCTGTGGTCGTCCTGAAGTTGGGGAAGAGAAAGGCGAGTTCCCTGCTGGCCTGGTCACTGTCCCCGCTACCGTGCACCGCGTTGTACAGGGATTGAGTGCCGTATTGTGCCCGTAAGCTGCGGGGTGCCAGGGGTGAAGGGAGAGGAGAGCAGATGGTAACTCAGCTGGCATTCCTCCGACAGAGAGGCATAATATTTGGGTGTGTCTGACAGAATGGGCCAGAATGTGCTGTTCGTTTCCCTTTTTACAGCCCTTGGACCGGGGTTGTTCACACTGTTCCAATCAAGTATGCAAAAACATGTCCCTCGGCATGACTCAGGTGAAATCAGTGGTTTTTAAATTGGGTTTTACGAGATACTACACTTGGTACGTTGGCATCTGTCGTTATATGCCAGGATATAGGAGTCATGCAGTTTAGTTAAAGGGCTCATATTAGGCTATTGTCTGATTTATGTTATAATGTTGTCTCCTCATCAAAAACAGACCTGGAGTTATGTTTTGTTTAATTTACTTATGTTTAACGCACAAACCCTGCAGATTTAAGATGAGTTATTTTCTCAAAAACAGAGAAAACGCTCTGTTCCACTTTGCAATGTCATGCTGTAATAAAGGCTTGAATTATCTGCATAATTTCAGCCCTGTGAAAAAAAGTGTAGAAACTAGTGGAAAAGAACGCCATGGCCTGTACAGGGGCAAACTCCCTTGATTCTGTTTTCCACGTAGGAAAACAATACAAAAAAATATTCCATTGTCTATTTTCTTGTCCCTACACAAGAGAACAAGTTCCTTCTCACACGTTAAGTCGTGTGACGTCACATGCCCATTCTCTATTGCCAATAATAAAGGATTACTCAAATATGTGAATGAAACAAAACACAACTCCAGGTTTTTTTTTGAGGAGGTCACAGCATTATAACACATCTTACAGCTCACAAGAGTCAGTTTTGCTAATATAGGACCTTTAAAGCTGCACTGTGTAACTGACATGCCACCTGTATGTCTCCAAGGAGATTGCTGAAATTTTCCACAGCATGGCATTTATCTGTCTATCTACAGATGAAATATCGATATCATGAGCTGCTGTATCAATATATCACCAAGAGTATTTTTGTTATAGTTTACTCAATTATTTTGTTACAGAGCTACAGTTTTGTTGCTTGTTTAGAGGAAAGAAACTTGTTTATGCAACACATTTCACATTTTCACTGTTTTGAGGATTAAAATGTTTGTGTTTCATATTAATTTTGCACAAGAAGTGGTTTAACAAAGACTTTTAGTATCACAGTCATGAATTAGCCTTTATTTTTTTATTGAACCCTATCGAATTGATTTGAAATATATCGTATCGAATTGAAAGTGCACTGTGCATCGAGTGCATCGAATTGATTTGAAATATATCGTATCGAATTGAAAGTGCACTGTATCGAGATATGTATCATTTCGGCAACTTCTTAATGATACCCAGCCCTACAGACGACACCAGGTTAAGTTACAAGTCTGATTTGTAATTATTGTGGTTTTGTAGTTCGTAGTTTGAAATGTAAGCGATAAAAATACCTTTGTGTGAAAATGGTTTAATGACACTGTGGCAAAGGAATAATATCTCCATGGAGACAAGCACATGGCATGCCCTCCATTATAAAATGTGGAATGTGCTGTGCGTTTCCTTTTTTACAGCCCTTGGACCGGGGTTGTTCACACTGTTCCAATCAGATATGCAAAAACACGTCCCTCTGCATGAGTCAGGTGAAATCAGTGGTTCTTAAATTGGGTTGCACTCGATAATACAGTTGGTACACTGACATCTTTCATTAGGATACAGGAGTCATGCAGTTTAGTTAAAGCTGCACTGTGTAACTGTCACGCCACCTGCACGTCTCCATGGAGATCGCGGGAATGTTCCACAGCATGGCATTAAACTTATCTATCTACAAATGACACCAGGCTAAGTTACAAGTCTGATCTGTGGTGTTTAGGTTAGTTTATTTCCCATTTGTCGTTAAAATACACATTGGAAAAACATGCACAAAAAGTGTCTCTATGCCATGAAAACACCTTTATGTGAAGACATACAAGATAGATGAGTTTAATGCCACTGTGGAACATTACAGCCGACCCAATAACATATCCATGGAGACGAGCAGTTGGCGTGCCCTCCATTCTAAAAATGACATCAAGCACCTTTAAATTGTTCTTTATTTTAGTTTTATTCATATAGCTGCTACATTTGGACCTGTCTAATTCATAGATATTTAGTCCTAGTTTAGTCCTAGTTTAGCTATGTAGATTTTGTAGATGTTGTTCTTGGTCCAAAGCTCATTTTGCTGCATTAAAGATTAAATTATACTTAGAGACTCCAATATTTTTTCATCTCTTATGCTTAGTGTAAAAAGCTTCAAAATCAGCCAATTGAAAATAGAGATTATAATGTTTATTAAAGTGTGTATGACAAATTTTTACTTAACTTGGTGGGATAATATCTGTAAATATAAGTGATAGTTTTACACAAGAAGCAGTTTGTGAAGAAAAGATGAAAAATATGTTGAAAATTACAGGAAGTAAGAGACCTGTTCTAAAGAGTTCCAGACTGATCACATCTCACTAAGAGAATTCTAAACTCAGTCAGTATTATTTAAGTATTATAATTAAGGTGTTTTCTTATATTTTTGTCTGTCAAATAATAATCTCTGTGTACATTAGGAGTATTGGCTCAGTCTATGGTTGCTTGGTAACAGTAATGAAATTACCTAGCGTGATGTCATGATTTCCAACCAGAAAGTTTATAAAATTTTCAGCAAAATCTTAAATACAATGATCTTGTGTGTGTGTGTTTAAGTAAAATGAGTAGTCCAACTTGTCATGGGCACTTCAAACTGTGTATCAAGCCGACTTTGTGCGCTGTGTGGTACATTTGCATAGACTAACCTTTGTGGCTTGTCTCTCCTGGCCTCCTCAGTATCTGCGGGGCCAATGAAGTCAAGCCACTCGCTGACAGTGTCTGAGCTGTCAGACTTGGACAGGACCAGCATCTGAGAGGGACCACTGGACATGAACTGCACCAAGTCCTCAAACCACGGCTGAGCATCACAAGAACACAAAGAGAAAGACAGAACAGATTAAATTATGAAGAGATGGCACTTTCTTCTTATTTTCTTATGTTCTTCCTTTTGCACATGAATTATTTCTCATCTTAACCACATACTCCGCAGGCTCCTTTATCTTACTAACTACCTTCATTTACTCTTTTAAGGGCCTGTATTATACTATTTTCTGATCTATATTATAATGTTTCGTCATCAAAAATATACCTGGAGTTGTGTTTTGTTTCATTTATTGTGTTTTAAAACTTGACACACCGTCACTAGAATCATTTGGATAATTTCAGCCCTAGAATAGCCAGTCTCTGCTCAACTAAAGTGAAAATGTAGCTGTCAACTTGAAAATTACAGTTTCATGACATCACTAGCTGGAACAGAGCATTTTGAGCTTTGGATGTAGGCAGACTAATAATTAGGATGACTCAAACATGTGTGAATGAAACAAAACACATGTTTTTGAGGAGGTAACAACATTATAACTTGACTTAAAGCTCACAAGAGTCAATTTTGCGTAATACAGGACCGTTAAACTCTTTAATTTCATCTGTCTTGGAGACAAACAGGGGATGCCAGTCAGCCAAATTACAGGTCAGGTCTCTGGAGAGGCAAGACTGCACACAGTTATAAGAATGCATATTTCAGGGTATTACCACCCATAACTGAATGCATGGCAAAATATATAAATTTAATGCCATACTGTGAAACAAATACCTGCTCGAATGTCCCCTGGCTTGAAAGTCCCCAGCTAGAACGTCCCATTCTCTCAAAGGGAACATCCCCCTCCCTCCCTGCACACGAGTAACTGCTGTGCTCGGGAGGGGGGGGCATTCTCACCATGTCACGCACTGATGTATTGAGTTAGAAAATCAGCAATCTATATCATAATAAAATGTGAATGTAGCAAGATCCAAAATTCTGTATTCCTGGTTCCTCTGCTGATGCGTACTTGAATCGTGGAGCTCCAGAGCTGTTTTATTGTGCACATATATAACGTTTCCCCGCATCCCACTTTGCTGCCTGTAATGAGGCAAAGATTGCAGACATTACCCACACTGGCAGTGCTTTTAAATGCTACATTGGTCACAAAATGTTTTTGTGTTTTTCAGTTTACAGTATATGTATATAGATTAACTAACTTTGTTTCATAAAGGGTACAATTCAGGGAGACTTTCCAGGTTCCTGTGAAACATTTCGGGCAAAGCAACATCTACATGCATGAAGCAGGTGATGGACAGTCCCTAGGCAACAGAGTATTGCCTCCATAACAATCATTTGAATCAGTAAAGTGAACATGCTGCATACAACCACTGTAGCTGTTTAATTCCCCTAATTATCTAGCCTGGACATGTATTCTTGTTATATTTGTATTCAGAATTTGTAACCATTAACTCCCATCACAAATAGGCTGATATGCAGGAAAAAGCCGCTTACACAGCAGCTCTATTTTTGAGCCCTGTGAAAAATGCAGATGGACGTGAGATGTGCTGCAGCTACTAAATGAAATGATTCTGCACCAGCTGTGACTGCTCCCTGCTCTAAATGCCAAGACTCAACACAGACTTTCTTCACACTCAAAAGGGCCCATATTGCACTATCTTCTGATCTGTTATCATAATGTTTCATCATCACAAACATACCTGGATTTGTGTTTTGTTTCATTCACATGTTTAACACACAAACCCTGCATATTTAGGCTATGTTTATATGACGATGGTCTGAACAGAAGACGCAAAAGTGGTGTCGCGTCTTCACTTTTTATTCCCTGTTTAGACGAGGCGGATAGGCAGTGACACTAGGTGGTAATGCATGCGACGTAAACGCGTACGTTACGTGAGCAGATCTGACCAGAGTTTTGCGTCTTGGGCAGTGTCGACAGAAGCGCTACGGTGGAGCGTATTCAACTTTTTCACTCTAGAAGGTGGTTTCAGATTTTTGCATTTTTAAGCCCCCAAAACGATGTCACTGTCTAAACGAAAGGCACTTCCGATAAAATATTTTGTGTTTTTTACCCGCAAGTGTTCTCATGTAAACAGGCCTTTAAGTTGTGGTCTTCTAAGGGCCTGTTTACACGAGAACGCTAGTGGGTAAAAACATCAAAATATATAGTCTAAACGCGGAATAAAAAAGTGAAGAAACAACGCCACTTTTGCATCTTCTGTTCAGACTGTCAACATATAAATGTAGCCAAAGTCCCATATGCATTTCAGACCATTTGTCTTGATCAAAATATTATGTTGTGTGATTGCAATTTATTTGTTATGATAGATTTTAGTACTTATTAGGTGAAGCGTTTTGAAATTGTTTTGTATTTTAGCATCTACTATATAAATTAAGTTTATTTTTAAATCATCCCTTTTCGAAACAATAGAAATAACAGGACTTCATCATTCTCAGCGTTTATTTATGTAATTCTACTACGTTGTACCTCATCTATGTTTTTGAGTTATGCTCACTTATACCCACAACAGTTCCCTTTAATTTAATTTTTTTTTTTTTAAATTACTCAAAAAGAAGAACATGTTACAGCAACTTGACATAATTAAGTTAGTAGGACTGTCTAAAACTTTGAGTATACTTAATCTATTTATTTACTTTAAAAGTTCAGGTTTACAGTGTGTCATGTCATGTGGGAATACAGGAAGTGCTCCACTGTGTTTTTAAATTCTAGACATCTTCACTAGAATCATTTGGATGATTTCAGCCCTGGAATTGCCAATCTCTACTGAACAAAAGGTAAAAGGAGCTGTTACCTTGAAATTTGGAGCATTTGGAGCTTTGGAAATATAGAGTAATAGAGTAATAATGAAGGATTACTTAAACATGTGTGAATGAAACAAAACACAACTCCAGGCATGTTTGTATAACATAACTAAAAGCTTCCGAGTTAATTTTGCATAATAAAGGACCTTTACTGCTCCCGGTGTTATTTACAATGTTCACTTCTGCTTCCTAAACCCTGCTTTTTAAACATAATTCATAAATTGCAATTCATGTGTGAAAAATCCCAATTACAATTTTTTCCCCCCAAACCGTGCAGGCGTCAAATGCAAACTCTTGCCTCCACGCTATAAGCTTCTTTAGTGTATGCGCTGTATGCTCTTTTATCCCCTAATACATTCTCCTTGTTTCCGAGCAGTACCTCTTGTGCTTCGTGTTGATAGAAATCTCGAGCCTCTGTATTTGTTAGCGTGCGCTCCTCGTGGACCAGGATCTCAAAGCCAGCGTCTTGGATCTAGCCAGGGGAATAATAAGAAGCGCTTTAATTGATGTCAGCAGAAAAGCTCAGGCGGTGTTCAGAGATAGTCCCTGTGTACCTTCATTATGATCTCATTTGCCTTGCCATGAGCTACAGCATCTGGTTTGAGAATGGCGACCGTGCAGGATTTACTGGCAGGCACTAAAACAGAGGAGAGCAGCCCGGGCGATTACTGCTAATACTGTTCAATGCAAATGAGTGAGATAGCAGTAAGTGGTTATAAAGATAATGCTATTGTAATCTAGTCGTACCAATCATGTTTTCTTGGTCTTCTGGCTGAGGTGCAGGCTCCTCATCCTCGTCGAGGCCTTCATCTTTGATCTGATAAATACACAAGCACAAGAGAATAATAACTATTTATTAAAGGGCACATATTACACAAAATTGACTCTTGTGATCTTATAATGCTGTTACCTCATCGAAAAACATACCTGGACCTGGAGTTTTTTTTTATTTTATTCATTTCACACATGTTTGAGTAATCCTGCATTAATAGTCTGACTACATCTCCAAACCTCAAACTGCTCTGTTCCACCTTGTGATGTCATGAAGCAGTAGTGTTCAAGTCAAAAGCTTTTGTTCAGTAGAGATTGTAAATTAAAAACACAGTGAAGCATTTTGTATATTACCACATGACATCACAAGGGGGAACAGAGTGTTTTCTGTTTGAAAGATGAACTCAGTCTAAATATGCAGGGTTTGTGAGTTAAACATGAGTGAATAAAAAAAAGAAACACCTCTCCAGTAGGGCTGGGTATTACGGAGAAGTTGCCAGTACAATACATACCTTGATACACAGGCAATGGTATGATGGTATAATACATCTCTATACAGTGCACTTTCGATTCAGTACAATATATTTCAAATTGATTTGATACGGTTCAAGAAAAAATAAAGACTAAATGATGGCTGTGATACTAAAAGTCTTTGTTAAACCATTTCTTGTGCAAAGTTATTATGAAACACGCACATTTTACTCATCAAAACAGAATAATATGTTTCTTCACCTTCAACTCACAAAAACTCAAAACTGACTATCATGACATAAAACAAACTTTAATTACTTTTGTTTTTGAGGTAACAGCATTATAACATCGCTTAAAGCTCACAAGAGTCAATTTTGCGTAATATAGGACCTTTAAGAGAAGTTAGTAGTTAATTCAACTTTACAAAGATATTGGCAAATTACTCACTGCGTAAAATAAGAAGGTCGGTTCACATTTGCCTCGATATCTTCCCAGAGCTTCAATACTGTCTGCTTCTGCCTAAAAACAGATATTTTCAAATATTGTTTCAGATTGTATTAATATAAAAGTCCATTTACAACTTGTAGATAAACTTACTGCGGCAAAATGCAAAAGCTCATCTCCCAATTCGTTTTTAATTTTTCTCAGAAGACTTATCACAGCTCGACACGGGCCACACCACTGTTGGTACACATCCACAACTACAGATGATAAAGACAAGGAGACTGTGCTTTATACAGTGACCACAAGAGGGCAGCAGAACACTTCAAACTCGGACACATGCTCGGACATGTCGGCATATTCTCCTTTTAGCTTTGTATTTATTCAAGGTTTTTGCTGATTATACTCTTACCAGTAAGGCCTTTGGTAGCAAGCATTTCTTCCCATTGCTCCTGGTTACTTAAAGACACCTAATTATATAAAGTGAATTATAGTCAGCTTTACATATTGAATCAGAAAAACAATTTAACAAGGTCTTTCTTAATTTTAACTCCTTTTACGACACCTTACAAACCTGTAAATTCGCCTCCTTCTTCTTGCCCGCCATTGAAACACCAAAACGCTACTGCTAATACATAAATTGTTAAAAAATAAATAAATTAAAATGCTTAGCTCTATCAATAAACAAACAGAAGTAGTTTTTTTTCCTGGTTAAAAGTCTAAGAGAGAGGCGATGTTTCTAAACTGTTTCAGCCCAGCACGAGCTCCAGTTTGTTTGGGCGATGGGTTACCTGGCAACCGTGCTCAAGCTATGCAGGGAGCTTACCGTATAAGGATCAAAGTGTCGTAAAAAAGCGCGCAAACCTTGACATCACAACGCTAATTTGAGTGAGTTTATCTTAATTTTACGTGCACTTTTAAATCATCTCGTACTCACCACGTGTCTCTCTGCAGCGACAATCGGGCGGGAGCATTAACTGTGAAAGGCAAGTTGTTAAAACACAATTTAGCATTTTACGATAGCTAATTTACAAGACCTCGTGCTTGCAATGCTCATTGCTGGTGGAAAAAATTAATCGTATATGTAATCGTATCGTCAAAAGTCTCATAATAATATCGTGGGCTGTCACAATATATTGATTTACATGTTTCTTTGCTTAAATGCATGTTTTTTATAGTAGCAGCATCTTATGAACTTTGCAAACTACATATCCCATGATTCATTTGTCCCAACTAAACTAAACTAATGAAGATATATGTTTTTTACTTGAATTCTTGGGAATATAATGGAAATAATTCACACCAAAATCTTGTCAAGGTATTTTAAAAGCAAAAAAGTGTCTATCAACATTTATATCGGCCTTTTCAAAATATCGCAATAAATATCGTACCGTGAGATGCATATTGTGATAATATCATACCATGAAATTTGGATATCGTTGCATCCCTAGTTATCTGTAGTAAAATACTGGGCTTTTGTTTGTAATAATCAACTAAGACTTCTAAAATAAAAGTGTTCGTTGTAAGAGCTGATTGTAAGCAGAACCCAAAAGACCAAAACAGTTTTAAATGATTTATTTATAGAGGTGTTGGTGAGGGCTGGGGCTGGGTCCACAGGCGCAGGTACTGGAGATGCAAAATCCTCAGGCTAAAACGCTGAAGATATATAGGTAGGTGGGAGCAGTGACAGGCACAAGGAGGGAACGATAAAGGCAGAGAGCTGAAGGATTATGACAGTATAGCACTAACTATAATTTTACAGCATTTATTGGCAGCACAAGCACAGTAGATGGATGGGACTCAAAAAAATTCAGAGGAATACTGTCCTTTTCTTTCTAACCATGCACCATACGCTTCACAGTCTGCTTTTGCCATGCACGTGTCACTCCTGTTGATGACTTCCCATCTCTCCCTGTGCTGTTTATGCATCCGGATGGGAACAGCAGTCACCTCTTCTCCATCATGACAAGGTTCTGGTCTGACAGTCGGCTTGCTCTGACAAATGACACTCACAAACCTGCATCCTTTTATTCATTCTCACTTAATTCCATGTGTTTCATTCAAATGTTGCCCTTGATGTCCTCAAACATCATCTACAATGCCTACAGATTTGGCTACAGTAGTTTTTAGGGTGCAGACACGTGGGGTAGGCCTATATTTACATGGCCAGTAAAAATCAGATAATTAGAATAATCAGATAGACTTAGAATTAGACAAACTATTGATCCACAAGGGAAATTATTTGGACTTCGTAGCTCACACATCACATTAAAATATACTAACAAAGAACAACAAATATAAATTGTAATAATAAATTGAAAATAAGCAGCAAAAATAACAGGAAACTGTTATCCAATAAGGCTTAATTATATAAACATTTACAATTAGAAGTAAAATTTAAAAATCAGATAGCACAATAATAAGATCTGAGTTTTTATGTGTATTTACATGCACAAAAGAAAGTGAATCTTTAAAACAACTGATGATATGTGTGAGTTAATCCATTGATTTTTGTGTAAGTGTTGAATTTGGAAGACAAAGCATAATTCATTTAAAAATATCTCTTTCAATCTTTAACATTTTCCTTTTCATTTTTTTCTTTGTGATATTTGTCTGACCTTCAGAAAGAAACCAGATTACTCACATCAGATGCAACTGTTTACATGACATTTCATTAATCTGAAAACTTCACAAATCAGAAAATGATCTGATCTGAGCATATGGGAACGTGTTTGTAATAGACTCGCCATTATCATTCATGTGTAGCCAAATTCATAGTTGATTCAGTTGTTTTTGTTGATGAGAAAATGGAGCTCCCTGATGTTGCATTATGTAAGAAACATTTTAATTTCTAGAGCTAAATTTCTGCAGGTAATTAGTTTGGTATTATAATTGACTATAAACTTAACTTTTGTACAGCAGTTTTTTCCAGGCAATTAAAATACTGAACATCTCATTTTACTAATAGCAAAACCATAGCAACCCACCCCTTACATAACAGCATAAATTCACCACTGATCTGATATTGACTTAAGGGCCAATATTACACAAAACTGACTCTTATAATGTTGTTACATCCTCAAAAACATACCCGGAGTTGTGTTTTGGCAGTTTTCAAGTTAACAGCTGCCTGTTATCTTTATCCAGGGCTGAAATCATCCAAATTATTCTTGTATAGGTGTATGGAGTTTAAAATATAGTGGAGCATTTCCTGAATTAACACATGACGACACAAGGTGGAACAGAGTTTTTTCTATTTGAGAGAAGAACACACCCAAAATATGCAGGGTTTGTGTGTTAAACATGCGTGAATGAAACAAAACACAACTCCAGGTCTGTTTGTGACGAGGAAACAACATTATAAATTGTTTGTTAGAAAAATGCAGTATGGGTCCTTTAAATGTAATGGCCAAATAGGTTTTGGTATAATTTGGAATAACATTTGTTTGTTTAACCAGGGCCACAAAAAACTACCTAAAGATTAATAGATTTTTACTTCTTCTACCTTTGTGGTAGTTATATTATACTTATAATACACTTATAGTAGTATAATGAGGAAATTATGTTTATGCTCATAAAAAAACTGTCTTAGTGTGTGATGAAATGCGTGAATTTGAGCTACATAGACAACAGAATTTTACCTTTTGGGGAAAATATTTATCTAGTTATCTATTTATCTATCTACCTAAAATGCACCAAACCAAAAAATGAAGTAGAGAGACAGTAGAAGATATTTAGGGACGAGAACAGACCAATGTGAGACTATATCAGACATGAGGTGCCGATAGTTAACTCGCTAGCTCCTGCGCTCCAAATAGGAAGTGAGTGTATTTTGTCCATAAATAAATTCCTATTCCTATTCCTAATATTAGACTCGGCTCCAAATTCGCTCCTATAACTGCCAGCATCATGAGCTTCATTTGACTGGAGCTGAACACTGTGGGTGATGTCACTCTCCCTTAGTCCACTTCTTAATACAGTCTGTGATGTCAGACTAAATTAAGTCCAGATCTGGTTGCCTGCTGTTTACCATTACAAGATTAGAAAACCACCACCAACAAAAATATGATCTCCCAAGCCAAGATTTCTTTAAACATCAACAACTGAGACATTATCTAAATAAAAATACGGTGTTGGGTTCTTTGCAAGCTCCACCTTCAAATATAGAAATCTTTTTTACATCTGTGATTTAAAAAAATCAATTACTAGCAAATACATATCTCATATCTACAAAATACTACAAGAAGTTACCACAGAGAACACACTACATAATAAGGAGAAATGGGAATTAGAAATGAATACAATAATTAAGGATGAGGAATGGGAGCTGACGCTTTGGGAAGGGTACAAAATTACACACAGCCCAGTACTAAGAGAGTTTGAATGGAAAACTAAAATTAGATTCTTTAGAACTCCTTTTTTTACATGTAAATTTGGTGGGACCTCAGATAGAAGTTGGAGGGGCTGCAGTCTGGACGGAGATCATTTCCATATATTCTGGGACTGTCCTAAACTGGCAAGATTTTGGAAGGACGTGCAATGTGAAACTGAAAACTGTTGGGGGATCAAAAATTATATTAGAGTGATCCATTGTGTTGTTGGAAATTTTTCCAAATGACATAAGAGCAAATATTAGTTTTCATTTGCTGAAAATTGGACTCTTAATTGCCAAAAATGATAACAGTCTCCTGGCTCAGGTCGCTGCCCCCTAGCCTGATTCATCAGCCGGTTTCACTTCATAGAAACCATCTGACCTCGCAGTGTTAGAATTCTTTCTCTTGACGGTAGGCGGGTACTTTTTTTCATTTAACCAATCGCTGTTATTTGGTCGTGACGTATGTAATGCCCCGCTAATGGGGCTAACTGATATATTCAGTTTTTCCCAAATCCCGTAGGAAGAAGGGCAATAACGTCTTTCCCATTGTTAAAATTCTCTAAACATTCTCTTTGTTCTGGCTTTAAATCCTCAATCTCAGGCATTGTTGCCAACACAGAATATATAGCTCTTCGCTGATTGGCTGGTGCCCGAACTCCCACTCCCGGGGTTTTTGCGAACCATCTAGTGTATTCTGATTCCTGACCTAGTCGCTGGAGAGAAATGAAATTGGGCAGAGGTACTAGGTGATGCCAGTCTGGTTAGCTGCCCCCCAAAATGACCCAGTGGAAGTAAGTAAGTAAGTCTTTATTTATATAGCGCTTTCACAGACATTTTCTGTCCCCAAAGACGCTTTACAGAGCATTATTCAGCACTATTCATTCAGCATTCATTCATACAGCATTATTCATTCACTCTATACCCTGGTGATGGTAAGCTACTATTGTAGCCACTAGCCACAGCTGCCCTGGGGCACACTGACAGAAGCGCGGCTGCCATGACACTCTGCGCCATCGGTCCCTCTGACCACCACCATCACTCACACACACACACCACTTTCATACTAGGCAATGAGGGTGAAGTGTCTT